AACAACAACAAATAGGAAGGTCAGATCACTTCTCGTCCGGAAATAACATATAAACTGTCACTTTACGTTTTTTTCTGTTTTTGGTCTTTTTTGGATTTTTTACTGTTTTTTGTACTTTTTTGTTTTCAAATAAATTTATATTTGGCTTTTTCTTGGTTATACACTATTTTTGTTTGGTTTTACGCTTTCTATTTAATTGTTTTTGGTCCTGGGACCTCAGGACAAGCGGGCTCTAGATTTCCCACTCAACCCTCCGGCCCCCGGAATTTTCGGTGTTAACTAAGTTAAAAAGCTAAATAGTACTGGACGGAGGGTACGCACCTTCCCCCCAGTACAATAACGGTCATTAAGGCCTCTAACTCGGGCATGCGCCCGGAGCGGAGGGTTCGTCACTGAAACGCTTGCTGATCATGATGGTCTTATGCCTTTGACAGGCCCACCCAGGAGCGCCATCACTATTTCTCACTATTTGTTTTTCACACTATTTGGCGTTGTTCTGATTTTTCGTCGTTTTTCGTCAAAATGGCCGTCTTTTTTGTATTTCTCAGAAATATTCACTTTTCAATCGAAATTTTGAAAATTAAAATTCCAGAATATTCCTACCCTCCTTCGCAATACTTTTTCGTTAATAAGGCCTTTATTCGTTTTTTCTCGTGTCGCCGGAAGGTTGCGCTGTGTCATCTGGCAGAATGGCACATAGCTTGTTGGTTGGCAGGACTGTCCTGCAAGCCAACACCTTTTAAATCTAAGAGAAAAAGTTTTAATCAGGACATTGAAATTGGAGGTCAGAAAATATGTTTTATCTTAAGTCATATCCTCAATGTGCAGATTAATGAAAGAATTTGAAGGCTATAGTGATGTAGTATGATGCCATTTGTATTCTGCAGTGAGTCGATGTGACGTGGATAAACGTAATTTCGTGCATTTCGTAAATTCTGTTCGATGACACTGTATCTATTTTACGAACATTGCGTGATTCAATGAGGACATTGACCGGACTGTCCGGGGAGTATGTGACATTCGACCAGAATGGCCAAAATGCAATCTCTGCAGAATTCGAATTTTAGCAGCGAGCCTTCCGGATTGGTGATTATTAAGAATTAAGAACGTTATTTGAACGATTGAACAAAACGTGAAGGTTAAAGGATTCGGGAATTGCTAATTTTTAAATTTTCGAACTGATTATGTAACATTTCTGAGAAACGTCAGAAACGGCCATTTTAGCAAAAAGAACTAAGAAAAACAGAACAACATTAGTTGCGCGGACGATAAGTACGAAAATTGTGAGAAAAAACAATAGCAGATTGCAGGAATAGCAGTGAACACTCCGAGTTGCAACTATTGTGTCGCTACAATAGTTGCAAGGCTGTTGCAGACAACGCTGAAGGGTGGAGGACAGCCTTCCGGATTAAGAAGAAATCAAGATTAACGAGCTTGATTCAGTGGATTCAAGAATCCAGAAGAGTTTCGGAACTGAGACTTTTATTCTTTCATATAGACTTTTAGCTTCTTGTCATGTCCTGATTTGAATTTAATTAACAACTGCATTCATTTTGATAAGGATGAGAAGCTAGGAGTTGGGGGAAAGGGTTGATCCATCTTCGATGGAGATGATGATTTTTATCTACTGAACAAAAACAATAGTAATATAATAAGTAGTAGCCCTGTTTTTAGGAGTGACCTCGTGGTCTGGGGATACTGAGACCCAGCCATGAGCTCACTATTTCTGCATGTAATTAAGTTAATTTGAGTGGATGTTGTCCCTATGTCCCTGTTGAGTGTGGAACACGTCGGTCAGCTTGCCACTCTACCCTCCGGTCACCGGCAAAATCGCCATTAACGTGCTTAAACACTCAAATTACACTCGAGGGAGGGTATCCAACCCTTCACCAAAACACACGATCTTTCTATCAGAAAAGATATAAATCAATCTGAAACAACAACAAATAGGAAGGTCAGATCACTTCTCGTCCGGAAATAACATATAAACTGTCACTTTACGTTTTTTTCTGTTTTTGGTCTTTTTTGGATTTTTTTATTGTTTTTTGTACTTTTTTGTTTTCAAATAAATTTATATTTGGCTTTTTCTTGGTTATACACTATTTTTGTTTGGTTTTACGCTTTCTATTTAATTGTTTTTGGTCCTGGGACCTCAGGACAAGCGGGCTCTAGATTTCCCACTCAACCCTCCGGCCCCCGGAATTTTCGGTGTTAACTAAGTTAAAAAGCTAAATAGTACTGGACGGAGGGTACGCACCTTCCCCCCAGTACAATAACGGTCATTAAGGCCTCTAACTCGGGCATGCGCCCGGAGCGGAGGGTTCGTCACTGAAACGCTTGCTGATCATGATGGTCTTATGCCTTTGACAGGCCCACCCAGGAGCGCCATAAAAACGTCTATGTAACATTCGCCCAAATACTAAACAGCGACGGAGCGTAGAAAAAGTACCTATTAACGACTGGCAGGCGTCAGTTACCTTAATCCTACTCGTTTTTCAACGTCTCGACCTTGCCAGTTGATTTTCTGGTCTGTTTAGGGCTAAGTAAAAAGTTACTATTTTTAGGCCATCAGTCAAACGACTTTTGATCAGCTTTCGTTTACATGCGAACACAACTACATAGCTGAGTCTCGGATCCTCAGACTACGTGATTGCCATTAAAAACACGGCTCGAACAATCTATTTTCATATGTTTTTGTGTGACAGTTCTATATTAAATCCATTGGAGATGGATTGACCCTTTCCTTTTCTAGCTACTCATATTCTAAAATATCAAATTATACCGGTGTTAATTTAAAGTTTCACGAAATTCAAGTAGCTATACAGTCATTTTTATATAGTCCCTTCACATAAAACAATCTCTGGGGGACCAAGCCTCCGCTCCCGTAATATTCCTGCGATAACGCTCTTATCTCTTCCAATTTGTGTCCCGGGAGGGTTCCGTGGTATATTCCTTCCCCACTGAAGCTTCCTTCTCCACTAATATCCGCTGATAAGGGTCTTATCGTGCTTTGTTGCCACGATAAGAGGCTTCGTGTTTTTCGTCTCTTGTGCGACTGTTTTTCACACTATTTGGCGTTGTTCTGATTTTTCGTCGTTTTTCGTCAAAATGGCCGTCTTTTTTGTATTTCTCAGAAATATTCACTTTTCAATCGAAATTTTGAAAATTAAAATTCCAGAATATTCCTACCCTCCTTCGCAATACTTTTTCGTTAATAAGGCCTTTATTCGTTTTTTCTCGTGTCGCCGGAAGGTTGCGCTGTGTCATCTGGCAGAATGGCACATAGCTTGTTGGTTGGCAGGACTGTCCTGCAAGCCAACACCTTTTAAATCTAAGAGAAAAAGTTTTAATCAGGACATTGACATTGGAGGTCAGAAAATATGTTTTATCTTAAGTCATATCCTCAATGTGCAGATTAATGAAAGAATTTGAAGGCTATAGTGATGTAGTATGATGCCATTTGTATTCTGCAGTGAGTCGATGTGACGTGGATAAACGTAATTTCGTGCATTTCGTAAATTCTGTTCGATGACACTGTATCTATTTTACGAACATTGCGTGATTCAATGAGGACATTGACCGGACTGTCCGGGGAGTATGTGACATTCGACCAGAATGGCCAAAATGCAATCTCTGCAGAATTCGAATTTTAGCAGCGAGCCTTCCGGATTGGTGATTATTAAGAATTAAGAACGTTATTTGAACGATTGAACAAAACGTGAAGGTTAAAGGATTCGGGAATTGCTAATTTTTAAATTTTCGAACTGATTATGTAACATTTCTGAGAAACGTCAGAAACGGCCATTTTAGCAAAAAGAACTAAGAAAAACAGAACAACATTAGTTGCGCGGACGATAAGTACGAAAATTGTGAGAAAAAACAATAGCAGATTGCAGGAATAGCAGTGAACACTCCGAGTTGCAACTATTGTGTCGCTACAATAGTTGCAAGGCTGTTGCAGACAACGCTGAAGGGTGGAGGACAGCCTTCCGGATTAAGAAGAAATCAAGATTAACGAGCTTGATTCAGTGGATTCAAGAATCCAGAAGAGTTTCGGAACTGAGACTTTTATTCTTTCATATAGACTTTTAGCTTCTTGTCATGTCCTGATTTGAATTTAATTAACAACTGCATTCATTTTGATAAGGATGAGAAGCTAGGAGTTGGGGGAAAGGGTTGATCCATCTTCGATGGAGATGATGATTTTTATCTACTGAACAAAAACAATAGTAATATAATAAGTAGTAGCCCTGTTTTTAGGAGTGACCTCGTGGTCTGGGGATACTGAGACCCAGCCATGAGCTCACTATTTCTGCATGTAATTAAGTTAATTTGAGTGTTTTGACCGAAGCCGAAAGCAGTAACGTTTTGTCGACCCGATGTTAGAAAAGACCACCAAAAAGTACTGGCTTGGTAGAGACGGTGAAAAGCATGCAAAGCTCTGTTTAGACGTTAGCCAGTCGTCTTAAGACTTAGTTTTGTTTTCCGTCGATATGTATCTTCCGGGCGAATGTTACACGAGAAACCTGAGCATGGCATGCTCAATTCGAATTTGAAAAATTCCATTTCACGCCAAAATCACGTCCTTTGCGTTGCTCAAGGTCGAACTTCCAAATATGACCGACTGGCTCAAAATGAAAGATAAGGTTTCTTGTATTTAGAACCATTTAATTGTCTTTTGGGATGTTTTAACGTCTAAATCAATTTCTTAACGAATTTGTTCTTACCTGACAATGGATATAATTCCGAAAACGTTCGATTTCACAATTTAATTTTTTTCATCGACGAGTTCAGAATTTAATTTTGAATTTAAGATGCTAATTGTCACCCTTTAAGTTGTGTTGCTCTTCATATCTCAGTTAAATGCATATGAAAAGCTATAGCACTTAAACTAAGGTTTTTCTTGAAGTGGGAAAAATTTTCTGGTTGACTACAATGAGAAAACTAAAGTATCTCTCAGTTGGTCGGTTAGCTAGTTTTTGGCTGTCTCTTCCAGATGAATGATAAAGTTTGCCAGAGTAGAGGCAGAAGTATTATTGGGCGTTCGACGTGAGGGTCCTGTGCTCAGTTGTCTGTGGCAAGCAAAAAGAGCCAGAAACTATTTGAGCACAAAAGAGGGACAAAATCTAGAAAAAGTTCCCGAAAAGTCGCAATCGTGGGATGTATTCAGGTAATTTTTTTAATCATCTTTCAGGTAGATGGGTTCAGATTGCAAATCTTGTCACCAACTGCCCTTAAACAATTACACTTCAATCCCTCAGTACTTGCGCGGAAACCGTTGGGTGTTAACTGGATATCGTGTCAATTATTCAGTAACACAGTGCTTATTTAGCATTTTTCAATGCAGCAACGAGTTTTTCAACATTTGGACGCATTTAGCCGGCTTTTTCGTCTTTGCAGTTTTATTCCTCAGTGATGTATTGGTGAAATTGCCTTATGAGGGTGCTGATTGGAGTGATTATGCAATAGTTACTGCTACATTATCTACATTTGCTTTTTGCATGCTTTGCTCCACAGGATTTCATGTCTTTAACAGTCATTCTCGAAACTGCTACTCAGTTTGGCTAGCTGTCGATGTATCAGGAGTAGCAATAGGAGCTTTAGGATGTTACCTTCTTGGCGTATATTACGGATTCTACTGCTACCCTTTCTGGAGATCAGTATACGCTGTTATGGTTGGACTCATGTGCCTGATAGTTTTGGCAGCGCAAGTTTACGATGCTTTGAGTCAAACTCATAATACTCTCAGATCAGTCTTTCTATTTTGCTCTTTAGGAGCAGTTTCCGTCATACCAACAACTCATTGGATTTGTCTTGAAAATGGATTGGAATCCAGCCTTGTCCGACTGCTTCTCCCCAAAGTTTTCATTATGTACTTTCTTCTTCTCTTGGCCGTGGTGATCTATTTGTCGAAATTCCCCGAAAGATTTTTCCCCGGAAAATTTGATTTTTTTGGCCATAGTCACAATCTGTGGCATCTTATGGTCGTTATAGCGCTCTGTTATTGGCACAGGGTGGGACTAGAAATCGTACATATTATGCTGCATTCTAAATGCAATCATGTCAAGCTTCAATAAGCAAAAATTTAAGCAGAAAAACTTGACCTAACTGCTAGCAGCTACGCTCTACAAACTTCTGCTAAATGAAAAATCGTTTGAATTTTTAGAGTTGAAATCAACTATCCATTGTTGCTCAATCAAAGGATTAATTAAATTTATAATAATACTGAACTACTTTCAGAATTTTAAAATCGTTATGTCAAGTTTGCTTTTATTTTAAATCATGCAAATCATCATTTGTAGCCAAACTCCAATTCTGCCGAAGTGTCAAATTGGATGGTATTAGATATTGTTTCGAAATCCAGCTTATTTGCTGTTTCACCGGAGTTGGAAGCTTTTCTTTTTTCCACAAAAACTGGTCAACAATGCGCACAAAAATCAATTTCAATGGCCATTATGAAGATCAATGAAAGCTTATTTTGAAACAACTTCCATCTCTCATTATTATGTCATTTTTAAGAGCTCTTCAAATAAATGTTATTGCTATGTAAATATTTCAAATACCAAGTAATTTAGTCTTAATTTGTTAACTTGTTTTTTAAATTGTCATGCAGAGCTGGGCATTTCATGGGGGGTTTGAAGAAAAGCCTCATTGTCAGGGCTTGACTTTTTGCTTTGACAGCTGGTCTTCACTTATACTGTTTTGTTATTTTTGCAGACTTGTTTCTTTAATTAGTTGATTTTCTATTTGGGTATGTTAAATAAAACCAGATGGCCCATTCCAGCTAAAGCTGCTTTTGCGCAATGAGTCAACATAGACGACTATTATGAAAATATAAAATAAGCAAGGATAGCCGGTTTTTGTGCAAGTAGCACAGAACATTCCGACCATTTTCACAAAAAAAAAATTAACTTAAAAAAGTTCTTTAAATTACTGTCGTTGTTTGGCGTGGTATGAAGAGAGAACTACACAAACCCGTAGAAAGTTAATGAGTAAGGCTCATTTTGATTATAATTTGTGATACCTGATTTTGCGTGGAAAACAAAAAATATAAAACACACCTGAAGACTTTTTTCCTCCCCATTTTCACTGCCTGGAGCAATAACTGTCAAAAACTAAAATGGTAGTATTGTTTAATGTGTTAATAGACGAGGTGATTTATCCTCTTGTTTTTTGTTCCAATTCATAGAGTCTTAACGTGAAAGGTTTTTCTTACCTCTCAGAGTTTTGAAAACTGAAACACGAACATTTTTTTTTTTGGTTTTCTTGTTCAAGGTGATAAAAAGATGCTATTAAATTAGAATTTGAACAGTCTACAGATATTATGATATAGAATACACGTTCTGAAATTTCTTTAGAAAAAACATCTCACCAAAAAATATTATTGCTTCGGCATTATGAAACGTTTCGATTAGTAGAGATGGTTTTTGGTAGACCTAGTTTTTGATATTTTTTCCCAACAGTGTTTAACGTTTCAGTCTAGTTTTTCTGCTGGCTAGCTTGTCATGCTATTTTTCTAATTTTTTGTGTGTAATTTTTTTGTTTTGTTTTGTTTTTGTTATTTATCTATTGTAATTGTTGAATACCTCCCAACTAACAAGACAAATAGTAAATCTTCATCGAAAATTTATTATTTTTTGCCTTCTATGGATATTGTTCTCGTCAGCGCAATCTTATAGAACAAATCAACAATAGATGTGAAGTATCGAAAGGAATGATTTCTATTAGTTTTAACTGTTAATTACCCTTGCAATAAGCTAGGGTAGTGCAATCGGGTACTAGACTTTTATCCCGTAAAGAACTTTGTTCACAGAATATGCGAAATTACCATGGTTCAATGACACCCAAATGGTAAAAAAAAATGGTTCAGCGTGTTTTTTTTTTTCAATTTTCTCTTTCTATTAACTTTTGTCTGATCGGAGTTTTTTAGGAATTAAAATGGGCGTTTGCTTTCGGCGTCAGAGCTTTTAAAGTTTTTTTGATTTTTTTAGCTGTTGCTCTGTGAGCTCTTTCTGTCGAAGTGTGTTTGTTGTTTTACTTAATTTTATTTGTTTACGTTCTTGTAAATAGAAAGAAAACTTTTCAGTATTTGTTTATCTTTGTCTTATCAGAAGTCGTTTTTTTATCAACGCTTTTTACAAATGGTTTCTTAGCATGCCTTCTGCAAAGCAGACAAGTTTAAAGCGTCAGTTGGAGCCAAAATGATTTGGTTGCTTATTTAATTTTCAAAAATGTTGTGCAACAATTTTCCAATCTGAATTTTTTCTCAACATACTTTTTTCCATTGCAATTGGTGAGAAGCTCTGCTTTCAAGTTTAAATAAAAATGGGTCTCCTACATTTGATGAAGATTTTAAGTTCTTGTCTGTTTTTTTTTTCTGAATTAAAACAGTTATGATTTGGTTCAAATCTGTATTTTCTGTTGAAGTTGCGAACTTATTCTGCTATAAGTTCACAAAAGGAGTTCTTTTTGCAATAAGGTTGTAGGTATTTACTAAATTTGTTCAACTGTTCGCACTTGAGATTAGCCTTCAAAATTGCAATACTTCGCTGACTCTATCCATCTCCACTACTCCATTTAAAAAGAATTTTTTTCGCCATTTCTTCTTCTTTGCCCTGAATTAGTTTCTCATTTGAGTCCTCACGAGCCATTGGCATGTTGGAAATTGATCTTCGATCCGCTTGAATGTCGTTTCAATTGATATATTAAAATAATTTCATATTCTTGAAAGTTTTCACAGTATTTTTCTTTTGAGCGTTTGCATATTTTTGTTCCGCGACGAAGTTTTCATTCAAATAACGGCTTAAAAATTTTAAACGCAGTAATTTTCTTGACGTTGCTCTACCGAAAGCTTCTGGGAACAACAACCGAATTGTAGGCTCCATCCAGCTCATATTGTGAGCGGTTGAATTGATACATCTTCCCAGCTTCTTGTAGAAGAGAATTTCAGAAAGCTGAAGAATGCGGATGTTTTGTAAACACTTGCCAGTTTCAGCCTAGGGCTAGGATCAAAATGAGAAAACTTTTGTTTTGTAGTATACCCTGAATAGGCTCAACTAGTACTCCTTCCTTGACGACATTAGTTTTAAAGCCATCTTTACCCGTGCGATACTAACTTTCTCCCCGTAAAAACTTCACAGAATGGACGAAATGGTATTCAGTATATTATACAACTGCTGAAGTAAAATCATGCCTAGTATATTTATTGAGTGCATGTAATTCGGCTGAACGTTGAAAGCTGCAGAGAATTTTTTTTTGGTGCCGAAATTTTTTTAGTGCCAGGACGGACAGTCGGCATTAACTGTCGGCTTAATTTCAGATTGTTAATCTTTGCTTTCCTATTTTTCGCTGTTAATCTTTTATCAGAAACTCCGTATGAAAAAAAAAGAAAATAAAACATTAAAAGTCAATTTTTCCAGCTTTTTCAGTTGGTTTAACATATTCGGTTGTGGAACCGGCTGGATCAAATTCTTTTTCCGGCAAGTAATTCAGTTTTTGAGTTTTTTCTTTTTTTGTATAACTTTCTTGAGAATGATTTTTTAAAGTTTTGTTTTCATTGCTTTCTATCTCATTTTTTGGAATTTATCCTTTTTTGAAGTGTCTGCGATTAAGCGAGCTTACAATACTATATCAAGTTCGAAAATCATTAAATCAGAATTTTTGGCTCCAATTTTTATGACAAATAAAATAGTGTGAATCAGTCATCTCTACAGATTTCATTAATTTTTGTTAAACTGTGTTCGGTTTTTTGTTTTTGCTCAATTTGTTTTTGCTCATTTTTTTTAAAATTTGTTATTTTTGCTATTTCTGTCTTTAGAAAGGAGATACTGCTATTGTTTTCCGCATCATAACTTAACAAAATCATTTGATTTTAGTTCCAATTTTTCATTGTTGTTTTTTTTGCTGCTTTGGTCAACTCGATTTTTGTGGGCGTTCTTTATTAGCTAGTTTTGTTATCTAGTTTCCAGATTTTGAACGGTTCCAGATTTTGATTGTTTCTGGGAAGTTTAAACATTTTCAATTCAAGACTCGAATTATTTTTTAAATTGAAGTGTCTTTTTTCCGCTAATTTGTTTTGCTCCTGTAAATTAATTGAAATTCTTTGTTAACCATAAAAATTTAAAAATAAATCACGAAATGTATTTTTATGCAGTGCATCCGAGTGTAAATTGGCAGTTGAAGTTGTTGCTTGTGTAATTTTCAACTTTTTTGCTGATGGTTAAAAACAAATTGCGATGCATTTTTTTTTCATTTTTCTCTTTTTCATGGTCTTTCAATTTTCTGCATTGCAATTTGTGCGTAGCTGTACTTCGTCTCTGTGTAAACTTGAAAATGCATTCTATTTTTATTTTAAAACTGAGAATTATGTTTTAGAAATATATCGAGTAGTCTGAAGTGGTCTCAAGAATCGACACCTGGATCGAAAGAAAAGAAGTCCTTGACCCAGGTAAGCGTAGTGGTTATTTCTATAAAGTTCAAGTAGATATAATAACTTTGCAGGATTATTCAAGTTACGAAATCACCAGACGGAAATATGGCACTTATCGAGCTCTCTAGAATTAGCTCTATATAAAAAGTCTATCTTTTGCTAGTTTTTTTTAAAGAAACCGAATAAATTTTAATTCATCTTTTTACTAAGGAAACTGCTTTCGCCAATTTTGAAATTTCAAGTCTTGCTCTTAAAATTTGGACGTTTTCGCCTACTTTTTTGTTCATAACTGATCTATTTCTCTGTCAACGCTATCAGACAACGGTTTTCTTTGTTTGAAGGATGAAAAAAGCACGGAGACCCTGTTACCAGAGCCCATTGATGATAAGATAAGAGTTCCCTCCACCGTAGTGAAAAGTGGTGTGGCGAAGAAACCTGATGCGAAAAATGGTGCGGATTCAAAACCTGAAGTATTCAAGTTGCATCCATTGTCGTCAACTGGAGATTCGGCTAACGATGACCCGGAGAGGGTAATGTAGAGACTATTTCAATATTTGAATGCTTGAGGGCATACATACGAAGTAACATTTTTGTACAATTTGCGAATTATTTTGATATTATGGAGGCTTGCCGATGCGTCATTCTTATGATTTGAAGCATATTAAAGGATCATAAAGAAGTCCGATTTTTTTTACTCATTATGAATATGAGAGTTGAGCTCGTGTACTTGAAGCGGATCTAGTATTTTTTAAAGCAAAGGGAAATTTAAAAGCCCCAAAAAATTGGATTTTTTGTAAGTCTATTACATAGCTTGTCTGAGCATTGCTGAAACACCACAAAAGCGCAATTTTTTCATATTTTTCGTAAATTTTAAAAGTGAATACGTAGCACTGTTAGTAGGGGCGGAAAATTGCTTTTCTACGAGAATTGTTATTCTGCAGGTGCTGAGCAAACTGTTGGAAGCATCCTCTATTATTTCGAAAGTGGCCCAGCTTAATATTCTAAATGAACACCTGGCTAGAGACAACAGCTTCCTAACCAACAAACAGAAGGCAAGTTTTTTTCATTTTCCAATGAAATTATCCAAAGTGTGAGAAAGCGGTAAAAAGAACAACCAAAGTCGTAATGAATGTGATATCAATGAATGTAGTGAAGACACTTAGCTCGTGATGATATTTTTGTCTTGTTTTTTTTTTCCAGGAAAGTCTGTTTTGGAACCAGATATAAACTATATTTATTCTTTGGTTATACATTGGATATTTTATCACTATAAAATATTTAATATTAACCAATCACGATCCATCTAACTAACAAACCACTTATTTGTAAGTGCTGAAATTACTTGTAATTTCAGCACCAGAGAGATTTGAATTTAACTTAGAAATTAGTTACCTCTCCCAGAGAACTTTAGCAATCGCAATAAGCCAGAATACTCTAGATCTATTGAGCCTAGCAGAGACTAGTTAAACACCCTGAGACTAATAGATATAAGAGTAAGATTAAGATCGGTATTAGACCAAGAAGTTGCACGAATCTATCCGGCCGAAAATAAGACAGCGTGACGAGCAGACGGTGTACCCTATCCGAAATTACTCTATGAGTTAGACCTTCGAATGTAACTCATCTGGTGCGACCAAAAGTCTCGAGCAAGACCTTAAAAACAAATTAGCTTAGAACTAACAGATAGATTAGAATTAGACAAAAACATTCTCAAAAATGTTACACGATAATAATCTTATTGAAATGTCTCTACGACTCAATAGATCAGAACCACTATTCCGCACAATAATAGAACTACCAGGCATTGGAAGAAGACCTCGGAAAAGACACGATTTACGACTACGAAGAAACTTACCATTAAGTTTCATGGTCGTACAGCGAAAGCCCGCAATCCAAATATCGATTTACAATCGATAGGTATATATTCTAAATCCGATATACAACATCACATTTGAACACAACATTTTCAAGAACTACTAACACAAATGGACACTATACAACGACAATCAATAGACCAAAATTTAAGAAAACTTGTAGAAACAGCAGGATTTTCAGATATTTACGCACAAGATTACAGCGGATATTTTAAAGACATCAAAGATTACATATATTTAAACGGTGAAAAATATCGACCTTAAGATATATCACCAATCAATATTTTTAGTTTTGTAAATTTGAAAAACGAAGTTTTAGCCTTTCTAGGATGGCCATATTACATCTTAGAAAGATTGACTATCTTATATGCAATGTTTATTTTTATTGGATTTCTTTTCTCATTACTAAAAGAAATCTATAACACATGCGCAATACATACACAAGTAAACAGACAAGCCAGCGTAGCACGCATATTATTTGCAGGATGTTTTGGAATGTTTTCATCATCAATAAATAAAATCCTCCTAGATGCACAAATTAAAGAATACAATACAAAACTATCAACAAATCCCAACACATACGATGACTCAAATAATAATACAAACTTATTACCTACGGCACCCCATTTGCCAAATAATCATCCATTATCTTTAGTCTCACGAAATTTTCGAAACTTAGCAATCACAAACCCCCTCCAGGTCAAAAATAAGCAACTCGCTAAAACTTGACAACTAAAGTAAACACTACTTCAATATTATAACCCTCCCCTATCAGATTATACAAAAATCAACAATATTTTCCAATTCAGACCTCAAAGGTCCTCCAACCAAAAAATGGCAAATTAGTCTAAAGTAAAAAAGACCCATGATCATTTGGCCTTAAGTACAATTATTCAAAGATACTCCCATTTGTTCAACAAATGAAAACAATACTATGAAGACCTCCCGAACACCAATAAAATAGCCCTCAACAATCTCAACCCACTGTCAAAAAATCAATAAATAATCCGACCACACTTGAATTTCGCCTCAAAACTTTAAAAAATATTAGACGAACGAATCTTTTCTTAAATGCTTCTTTCCATAACAGTTGATCACATAAAACAAAAACTTCTAAACCTCTTCACAAAATTTTTCAATCTATTTAAATTTTTGATATACTTTTTCATTGAAACTTTTGAATTTCTAATAATAATTTCTATAATTTTTTGCAATCTTTTTAAAATTTCCTATTCCCTATTTGAAATATATCTCCAACTCTCCCAAATCCTTGACCACATCTACAGGCACAAATACATATAATCTATCTAAATGATACGAACTATTTTCAGTCGAACAGATATTTTTCTTTTATTCATAATTTTCCTCACATTTTTAGTCTCCCTCATCATGACAATATGCAGATGTATCAAAAAAGCAATAGTCACCTTTGCCCAAGCAACCATCCTCTTAATACTCTTTATTGAAGCATATTATAATAAACACAAATTTTAAGAAAAAATTGAAATTCAGATAATTTTCCAAAATTGCTAATCAACAACCACCAAACCAGCCCCCACCAACCACATCCCAAGAAAGTCCAATAACACCCACAACTACAAACCATCCTCAAACATCAACACGCATTTCTTTTCAAGACAATCCATACACCTTTGAAGAACGACACGCACGCTTATCAGAACCACTAGAACCAGTTCATCGACTAGCATCTTTAAGTGAACCAACATATAACTTATACCCCACCCTGCAACAAGACCTCAATCGAGTTAGACATATTAGCCAAAATCAAAATACACCTGATATACATAGACAAATTATACACCCGCGAAGAAATAGAAATTTTCAAAGCCCCAGAGTTAATTTTAATATACCTCAATCACCAACGCCAACTACCTCAGAACTTTCAAGCAGTACACTACCAGAAACTCCCACACTTCTTTCACAACCAAGCATCTCGAATATACCCTCGAACTACCTAGGTTCAACCCCCACATCACAACAAATCCGAGAAAACCCTTTTAATCCCCCAGACACCAGAAAGACCACCATATTGGACAACACACTCATTTACTTAAGGTGAACCGAACATAGTAAATGAACCAATAGATATTTCTTCTGATACAACACTATCATCATTACCAGAAACACTCTCACTTCCGTCAACACCATCAAAAAGTCAAGTCTCACCAACTTTTTTCCCCTTAAATTTTCCAAACAATCTCGACGTTAGATACAGAGAACAATCATCGTCAAATATCCCTTTACGATTAGATTGGACTACTTTCGTAGCACCTCCCCCACTATTTGGACAACATCAAGAAAGTAACCGACTCCATAGTTGGGCACTTAATAGATTACAATATAGACAAGATATCCACGAAGATATCCGAGAGCATAACATTCAAATACTTCAACAAAACAGTCTTCAATTAAAGTTCGAAATCACATTCAAACTTAATAATTTTGTTCAACATCCTTTTCCCCTTAGTCCACCAAACATAACAGCTCAATCACTACCTCCTCCATTTATAACAACTGAAGTAATATATAAATACGATAGATATACCAAAAACACAATTGGATATATCACATTTTATAACCCATACTCCGAATTAGCATACACATGTATATTTTAAAGATATTTACGTTTCATTACATTCTTTTTCTAATTTTTTCCGAACAACATACAAATCCATCCCCTCGTACAGGACCTCAGGATTTATTAGTAACACACTATGATTGTGAAGAAAATGAACAAAAAACACTACACAAATACGCTATAAATCAAGTCACACAATGCGAATCCGAACCACAAACCATAGAAACAACAAATGTAGTAGCCACACTATACTCAAAAGCCCGATCAACAACATTAACAGGATACAAACTTACAGCAACATTTTCCAAAAAGAAAGTAAATTGCTCACAAGTTTCAAACGGAAATAAAAACCGACTAGACCACGAATCTTTCTATCAAAGTAATATAGAAAGATTACTACATCTTTGCCCTCAAGATTGTAAGAATGAACTTAGACGATTAAACTTAACACAAAACGATGGAACAAATAGAAAACTTGTAAATTTTCAAGTTTTCCCGGACTTAGCACATCAAGCAGAACTCGAAAAACACCAAGGTCACATTAGACTAGACAAAAATTTTCCATTTCATGGAACACATGGAAGACTGACATGCGATCTCCATGATAAACAATGGATACCACACATAGGTATCAATGATCCCTCAAATTGCAAAGCAGATACAAAAATAAAGGATATCAAGAACTAATGTTTTTTGATTGGAAAATACAACTTGAAAAAGTACAACTAACACGAGATTTAAAAGGCGACACAATTCTTTACCAAGGCATTCGACTTCCTTGCAAAAATGACCAAGGATATTGCGATCCTACAACACGCACACAAGCAACCATTGTATGGTTTCCTGAAGAAACATGCACAGTTTTTTAAGTCGCAAAAATACACGCTAGAATGATTAAATTTCACCAAAAATATTTTATTGAATCAATCCCATTTGAAGAAGTCAATCCTGATCAAATCAGAAGCAATAACGCCAAATTTAGAAACCTCCACGACATAGAGAATAAACTAACACGATTTCAAATATACCCGGAAACTGAACTAGCATGTAAATATAAAAAACCGATTTACAAAACACAATACTCAGAAATCCTTGTTGAATACGAACATGGTTTCGACATGAATACAGGACATCTAAATGTAGACCCCTTGGCCACATCTCATTCACTTACCGACGGAAACCCTTATACTTCCGTAAAATTTCAGAAAAACATAGGAATAGGTGGAAAATTAAAACCACAAGACGCCGATAGTACACGATTACAAGAACTATCACTCATGAACCGCACATATTTTGGCGCAATTCACTATGAATTACATTTAGACATGAAACTAGATTACACAATAAGCAGAATTTTTCAAGAAATGTCACTCTCAGAATTAGAAACACTACACCAATTATGTGAACTTGAAAGAACACAAACTCTACAGTCACCAGCACTAGCAGTTCTCAAAATACCATATGCAGGATATTTGTTATCCCGAAATAGATCAAATTTTATTGATTATGAAGGAAATATTTTATGATATTACACTTGTACCGAAAAAATATCACCCTTATACGTTTTTGAAGATAAAAGATGTTACAAAAGAATCCCCATATTCTACAAAATAAAGTGTATTTTGTTGATACACTCTCAAGACGAACATATTTTTGGGACACACCAGTACCATGTGGATCAAAAAATAACCACAACGTTGTACAATTAAGCCCCGACAAAGATAAATACTATCTACTAACACCATACCCGACATTAATGCCACCATTAAAAAAGTTTTCACCTGAAAGCATTCGAGCTATAGCCCGCAATCCAAATATCGATTTACAATCGATAGGTATATATTCTAAACCCGATATACAACATCACATTAGAACACAACATTTTCAAGAACTACTAACACAAATGGACACTATACAACGACAATAAATAGACCAAAATTTAAGAAAACTTGCAGAAACAGCAGGATTTTCAGATACTTACGCACAAGATTACAGCGGATATTTTAAAGACATCAAAGGTTATATATATTTAAACGGTGAAAAATATCGACCTTAAGATATATCACCAATCAATATTTTTAGTTTTGTAAATTTGAAAAACGAAGTTGTAGCCTTTCTAGGATGGCCATATTACATCTTAGAAAGATTGACTATCTCATACGCAATGTTTAATTTTATTGGATTTCTTTTCTCATTACTAAAAGGAATCTATAACACATGCGCATTACATACACAAGTAAACAGACAAGCCAGCGTAGCACGCATATTATTTGCAGGATGTTTTGGAATATTTTCATCATCATTTAATAAAATCCTCCGAGATGCACAAATTAAAGAATACATTACAAAACTATCAACAAATCCTAACACATACGATGACTCAAATAATAATACAAAGACATTACCTGCGGCACCCCATTTGCCAAATAATCATCCATTATCTTTAGTCTCGAAATTTTCGAAACTTAGCAATCACAAACCCCCCAAACGTAAGACCCAGCCACATACAAAGCCCCATCCAACATATCGTGACACAACACCCGCCAATTGATGACACATACGAAGAAATCATTGAACAGCCCCATACAACCACTTTTCAATCTCTAAATAATCATTTTTTTAGCCAACGATGAGCAGACAAATTCGATCACTCCACCGATCAAACTCCCACCCTGCCAACCTCCAAAATCCACTCCCTATTATCCCACTTTTTGCTTTTCCGCCACTTGATTCACCACAAGCTAACACATCATCAGGCATGAATTCTGACACTAACTCAGACATCGCAATTTATACAACAATTTCACAATTCAATAATTCTGATATTGAAACCCTCGACGAATTCGCCAATTCAGAACTATCCCCTTCTACACATACCCCGACCAGCTCAACAACCTTTTCCAAACCCCCCTTCAAACCTATACAATCGCATAGCCAACATACATCCCCCTACACTCCTTCTCAAGTAACCCCAACCTACTCCACATTTAATAATGACCGCTCCACAAACAACTCCCCAGATAATATCCAAATTTCCAAAGAACTAGATAATTTTATAACACTCCAACAACAATTGCGATCTCTCCACACCCTAACTATTCACCAATTATCATCAACAATAACATCATCAAATCCACCAACACCCACACCAATTTCAGACTATACTCCATCATAAGCTCACTCATCCATTTCCACAGAATCATCCAACAGTACTAACCGTGCTTATAAACTTTTAAACGAAAATTACCAAATCCCCAAGTGAAAAAAACTTCAGTGTAGTTCCGATTACTTGTAATTTCAGCAGCAGAGAGATACAGCAGCAATCGCAATAAGTCAGTATACTCTAGATCTATTGAGCCTAGCAGAGACTAATTAAACACCCTGAGACTAGTAGATATAAGAGTAAGATTAGGATCGGTATTAGACTAAGAAGTTGCACGAATCTATCCGGCCGAAAATAAGATAGCGTGACGAGCAGACGGTGTACCCTATCCGAAATTACTCTATGAGTTAGACCTTCGAATCTAACTCAGTTTGATCACGCCAAATTTGATCGTATGCGGTTTGATTTTTGATTTCTTTTTTAAGTTCAATTGAAAGTCATTTGTTAAAGGAAGGAAAATTATGCTCCGAAAGTGGATTTTGATTTTTAGATTTTCCAGCGGATAAAAAAAGCTTTTGATCTAGTTTTTATGAAAAAAAGTTTGTTCATAAATTTTCTTGAAAAGGAGTTTCAACTTGATATATTTTTTTCCCGAATTTCCAAAGTTTAAAAAAGCACTTGAAATTTGTCCAAGTATTCGTGCGCTATGTTTTATTTTGGGGTAATTGAAATGTTGCTGCGAATTTTAGTCCAGGCGTTGCGAGTGTGAACGCACGCCTGAATTCGTTCTTTTTGCTCGCAACCATCAGCAGCTCAAAAATTTAATTACAAAACAATCATGAATGCCAGAATACCGAAATGCGTTAAGTTTGGGACCATAGATGGCTTGAGAAGCTAGATAACTGAAACGCTTCGTAACTTTGCTTCGAATAGATAATCAGTGTTACTTAGGAAGTGGTTCAATCAGAGAAAAAAAGGTTCTATGAAGGCAACCAGTTGTAGTTCCGATACTTTTTTTCGACAAGACGTTTGAGTTCTCCCCTGTGATTTAGACTACACTGGTGGGTCAGCTGATGGCTTCAAAGGACAAGTTGAATTCTAAGAAGAGATATCAAGAGGCAGTGAAATGCACATTCAATCTGATCGGACTGCCTCCCAAGCCAAAGGGAGCCGGGATCAAGATACTCTGCATTGATGGGGGAGGAACAAGGCAAGTTACACTTCACAATTCTGTACCAAAAAATTATCATACATAACTAGACTGAAAATATCAGATGCAATTGTTTAAAAGTAACTGCACTGTGACATTGATTGTTGTGATTACAACTCCCAGCACATGATAAAGCTTGATTTAAAGGCTCTTAAATTCAAATTCTTCAGTCGTGTGGTAATTTCTACCAAAAGGTTTTGGTCAGGGTGCTTTTTAAGACAAAGAGGAGTTAGTTTCTGGCTCTTTTAGAGAGATATGACAAGTTTCTGAGTTTCAGTTTTTTTATTGGCACCAATATCTCTTCAGAAAAATTTTGGAAATGATCTGTTAGTACACTAGCGTACTTCAGTGAAGGTTAGTGTTATACTACAACTATTCTGTTTGTCTAACCTAAGTCGCAAATATTGGTGCCACTTATGAGGCACCTTTACAGGAGGAACGATATCTTAGATCATCCGAAATGAGTTAGTTTAAGCCTCTCATGTTCCTTATTTTTACTTCGTGTTTTATGTTGTTATTTGTCCATGAATGAAATTTTGGTCGTGTGGTTTTTTCCGTTCAATTTTGTGGCTTGACTCTTGTTTGTTTATAAAGTTTAATTGAGGTTCATTTACTAAACGAAAAGCCAATTTCGCTCTTTAATAACGAAAGTTCAAAGTTTTTAAAAAACGTGAATGTTCTCTAGTTTGAATATGGAGTTAATCATAAGGTTTCGTTGTTGAAAATTTACCTTCAACTATTTTTCTCAATTATATTAGATTTCTAATGCAAGCGAGCGCAGTGTTATATAAACATTCTTCTTTGATTCTTTTTTTTGCGAATGTTTTATTTGAATAAAATTAGAAATAAACAATTAGCACAGAATGTTCCGACCATATTCTTAAAAAATACAACAAGGTTTTTTCAAATGACTCGTATTTTTTGGCGTTGAGTGATGAAAGAAGCTAAACAAAAAACTAGGGATTGTGTATGTTCGATGATTTTTTGTGGTAGCTGATTTTGCATGGAAAACAAAAATGTGAAAAAAAAACTAAAACACATCCGAATACAAAGTTCCTCGCAATTTTCAATGGTCGGAACATTAAATTGGCCCTTTATCAGCATCGTTTTCATCTGCTTTATCGAAGATTTTTTTTGCATCGTATCAACTGTCTACGGCTCAGATGTTAGGACAAAAGACTCATAAACTGCAGTTGGCGGGTTGATTGCGGCTCATATGAGAAGTTTTTTAAACGGCTGATTTTTACAGTTTTCCTATGTCATTTTAGACATAAGCTCTAGTGTATGAGTAAGAATATACTTTTTTCTAACCTTACTCCCAAATAAAATTTTTCGTTATTTGGTGGCAAAGTGTTCATTATTTTTTGGCGTTTTTGCTTTTGACACGATCTGTAGCATTGGAATTTTTATATCATCTGTTTTCTGCTTTATTTGAGGCTAGTGTTTGTGATTAATTATGTATCCGTGGCTGAGTTGTGGTTAGTGCCTGAGTATCAAAACCACTAGTTCGCCGTAATTCCCTGATCGAATCCAAGACTTAGCGGAATTTTTACTAATTCGAGGCTTATTTCTACTTTTTTATTGCACTTTGTAGAGCTGATTCTTGTGTTATGGCTTGTGTTTGCGAAGCGCAGTTTCGCCTCTGTGTTTTAGAGCTGCTAGTTAGCATTTTCTCAAGGACGCTAATTGTTTTTTCGATGAGTTTTTTTGCGAGTAGTAAGAATTTTGCAACCGGACTTTTTCCCGTTAAAACGTTCGTTCACAGAATGGTGGAAATTAGAAATTATAAATTTACGAATGTGCGCTTGTGGATGCCACGAATATGGTTTAAAAAACGATTAATTTATTCCAAGCTGTGCAATAAGCCAATATTATAGAAGCCTTATTACTGGAAGAGAGCAAGCGCACATGTAATTAAAGCTGCTGAAGCTCCATGTTTTTCTCTTAGGTACTAGACCTCTTGGTGAAACTGATGTACTATTCATCCAGAAAAAAATCAAAGATTGTGAATGGAAGAAAAATATAGTTTTTGAACTGTTATACTTCAATTCTCTTGCAATATATTAACGTGCTTTTAAGGAATTAGTTTTTTCTAAATGCATCGATCCACTATTACCAAAATAATTTGAAAAAGTAGTGTGTCTTATGCCTTAGGTTGACCAAAGACTGTTGAAGTTCAATTCAGGATCTGATAATGATCTTCAGATTGAAATTTAAGAGAGAATTATGTGTCCGTATTCGCGCTGAGATTAGTTTTTTTTATCATTTCGTGTTACTTTTTTTGAATATTAATAACTTTAAAAAAAAGATATCAAACCAGAAAATATTGAGTTAAAAATTTTTTGAGATTTTTCGTTTTGAAATGTCCGTGTTTATTTTTTCGCTATTTTTCACGATATACTCATTTTATTGCTCATTTTATAGCACCCATTAAGATTCAGTGAAACAATTTATAAGTAACTGCACTGCGACATTGATTGTTGGGATTACAACTCCCAGCACATGATAAAGCTTGATTTAAAGGCTCTTAATAAATTCAAATTCTTCAGTCGTGTGGTAATTTCTACCGAAAGGTTTTGGTCAGGGTGCTTTTTAAGACAAAGAGAAGAGTTAGTTTCTGGCTCTTTTAGAGAGATATGACAAGTTTCTGGGTTTAAGTTTTTTTATTGGCACCAATATCTCTTCAGAAAAATTTTGGAAATGATCTGTTAGTACACTAGCGTACTTCAGTGAAGGTTAGTGTTATACTACAACTATTCTGTTTGTCTAACCTAAGTCGCAAATATTGGTGCCACTTATGAGGCACCTTTACAGGAGGAACGATATCTTAGATAATCCGAAATGAGTTAGTTTAAGCCTCTCATGTTCCTTATTTTTACTTCGTGTTTTATGTTGTTATTTGTCCATGAATGAAATTTTGGTCGTGTGGTTTTTTCCGTTCAATTTTGTGGCTTGACTCTTGTTTGTTTATAAAGTTTAATTGAGGTTCATTTACTAAACGAAAAGCCAATTTCGCTCTTTAATAACGAAAGTTCAAAGTTTTTAAAAAACGTGAATGTTCTCTAGTTTGAATATGGAGTTAATCATAAGGTTTCGTTGTTGAAAATTTACCTTCAACTATTTTTCTCAATTATATTAGATTTCTAATGCAAGCGAGCGCAGTGTTATATAAACATTCTTCTTTGATTCTTTTTTTTGCGAATGTTTTATTTGAATAAAATTAGAAATAAACAATTAGCACAGAATGTTCCGACCATATTCTTAAAAAATACAACAAGGTTTTTTCAAATGACTCGTATTTTTTGGCGTTGAGTGATGAAAGAAGCTAAACAAAAAACTAGGGATTGTGTATGTTCGACAGCCAAACTAAAATTACCAATTGAAAAACAAATTTTCCAGAGAAATTACTAGAAAAACGGAAAAAAAGTTGAAAATGCAGTTTTTTTGAGTTTTTGAAAAATTTGACTCCAAAAAAGCGGTAAATTTTTCAGTTGAAATAAGGTTGTTCGCTCATTTATTCGCGCGAAATAAGACGAAAAATCAAAAATTTCAAACCGGTTTTTCTCGACACTATGAAATTTTTTTTGAAATTTTTAATATTCGAATCAAGACTGAAAGGCCTTTAATATGGTATATCTCTCATCCGTGTTCGATGATTTTTTGTGGTAGCTGATTTTGCATGGAAAACAAAAAGTTGAAAAAAAAACTAAAACACATCCGAATACAAAGTTCCTCGCAATTTTCAATGGTCGGAACATTAAATTGGCCCTTTATCAGCATCGTTTTCATCTGCTTTATCGAAGATTTTTTTGCATCGTATCAACTGTCTACGGCTCAGATGTTAGGACAAAAGACTCATAAACTGCAGTTGGCGGGTTGATTGCGGCTCATATGAGAAGTTTTTTAAACGGCTGATTTTTTCAGTTTTCCGTTGTTACTTTAGACATAAGCTCTAGTGTATGAGTAAGAATATACTTTTTTTCTAACCTTACTCCCAAATAAAATTTTTCGTTATTTGGTGGCAAAGTGTTCATTATTTTTTGGCGTTTTTGCTTTTGACACGATCTGTAGCATTGGAATTTTTATATCATCTGTTTTCTGCTTTATTTGAGGCTAGTGTTTGTGATTAATTATGTATCCGTGGCTGAGTTGTGGTTATTGCCTGAGGCTCAAAACCACTAGTTCGCCGTAATTCCCTGATCGAATCCAAGACTTAGCGGAATTTTTACTAATTCGAGGCTTATTTTACTTTTTTATTGCACTTTGTAGAGCTGATTCTTGTGTTATGGCTTGTGTTTGCGAAGCGCAGTTTCGCCTCTGTGTTTTAGAGCTGCTAGTTAGCATTTTCTCAATGACGCTAATTGTTTTTTCGATGAGTTTTTTGCGAGTAGTAAGAATTTTGCAACCGGACTTTTTCCCGTTAAAACGTTCGTTCACAGAAAGGTGGAAATTAAAAATTATAAATTTACGAATATGCGCTTGTGGATGCCACGAGTATGGTTTAAAAAATGATTAATTTATTCCAAGCTGTGCAATAAGCCAATATTATAGAAGCCTTATTATTGGAAGAGAGCAAGCGCACATGTAATTAAAGCTGGTGAAGCTCCATGTTTTTCTCTTAGGTACTAGACCTCTTTGGTGAAACTGATGTACTATTTATCCAGAAAAAAATCAAAGATTGTGAATGGAAGAAAAATATAGTTTTTGAACTGTTATACTTCAATTCTCTTGCAATATATTAACGTGCTTTTAAGGAATCAGTTTTTTCTAAATGCATCGATCCACTGTTACCAAAATAATTTGAAAAAGTAGTGTGTCTTATGCCGTAGGTTGACCAAAGACTGTTGAAGTTCAATTCAGGATCTTATAATGATCTTCAGATTGAAATTTAAGAGAGAATTTTGTGTCCGTATTCGCGCTGAGATTAGTTTTTTTATCATTTCGTGTTACTTTTTTTTGAATATTAACAACTTTATTCTTCGAGTGTCATCGGTTGATTTTTAAATTATTTTGAAAGAAAGAGTTTTGCAGCTATTTCGATGTAACTGTTCGCTATGCGTGTTCGTAATTTCACTTGCGAGAGCATGTGACTTGTAATCGGTAGCAAGAATTTTCTTCCGTCATTTAACTTTTCTTATAATTTCTGCTGCTGCTCAGACAAGCGCAGTTTCTTGAAAATTCAAATAAAACTACTTAGTTCATTCATGTGAGGTAGTAATCCATTTTTTCAAATATATTGGTTGAAAAATGTTTGGTTTAATTGTACTTTTGGTTTCCTTATTTTACTTTTTAAGTTTTTTTCAAATGCAGATTGAATGTTTATATTTAAAGTTGATTAAAGTGTCAATGAAAACAGTAAATACACTTTTATTTTTCATTTGTTTTTTTTTCTACTTAATATGATTTCCGAAATATGTTTATTTATTTATTTCAATTCAGGTCAAAATCTTTTGCTCAAAGGAAGAAAAACATATGGTCTCGAATAACTAATGTTCAATTGGCGCGAAAAAACGTCAATAGCTCCGAGTTTCAAAAGTGAAGTTTGGTTTTCAGAATACCCTGCGGAACAAATAAAGTATTTTTTGGTTCTGCTTTTTCAAATGGGTTTTGATTGATAAAACAATTTCATTTACAAATATTTCTTAAAAAAATCTAAGAACTTTGCGGTGATATATTGTTTTCTTCAGTTGAATTCCTATCAAAACTACTACTACCAAGGCGTGTATTGTCCTTTTTCCCATTGTGGCGGGTTTGGACATTCGGAAAGTGCGTAAGCAATGGTTCAGTTGAGTGCATTCAGATTAGCATTCAAGCTAATTAATGGAGGGTAACGCGTTTTTCCATGCCATTCGATCAAGGCAGTCTGTAGATTTGAGGCCTAAAGTATTCAGGTCTCTTTGAACACAATCGATCCAGCATTTTTTAGGCCTTCCTGCTGGTGTTTTCCTTGGGACTGAAACATGGCTTGTTGGTGTGAGCGCATTGTCATTTTCTCCAAATCATTGTAGCCCCGACCGCACTTGTAACTTGTCCAGATCAAAAGTGTATTGACTTTTTTCAACTGCCTGTTGCTGTGTTGTTGTTTTTTGTTGTTCTTTTTGGCTTTTTCACAATGGCTGCGTTCGAAATTTTCTTTGCTACCTTTTGACTACAGGCCTAAATTATTATATGTTTGGTGCAGGTATTGAAGTTTTTTTCATACAATTTTTTAATCAACTGATTTTTAAATATTGATCTCGTTACTTTCTACTGGACTATATTGTTTGGAAAGTTAACTATTTGAAAGAAAAGACTAAACACTTACAAGCCTGAAAAAGCTATCAAACCAGAAAATATTGAGTTTAAAATTTTTTGAGATTTTTCATTTTGAAATGTCCGTGTTTATTTTTTCGCTATTTTTCACGATATACTCATTTTATTGCTCATTTTATAGCACCCATTAAGATTCAGTGAAACAATTTATAAGTTTCATTTAAATTGTTTTTTTTTCAAGTCTTTGTAATGTTCATTTCTTTTTTTTTTCTGGCTCTTTTTAGGTTAGAAGTATGCTTTTTTATTTAATTCATTGGTTTTTGCTCAACTTTTTTTTCTAAAAATCTACTTTTCTGTCTCAGCAGTTTTCTAAAATTCAAATAAAAAATGCCTCTTACTCGGCTGCATAATGGTTGAAAATGGTTTCATTTTTGTTGTCTAGTTTTTCTTTCATTTTTGTCTTTGATTGATTCGATTTTTTTTTGATTTTTTTAAAATATGAATAATTTGTTTTCGATATTTTAATTTATTTTGAAAGTTTTTCAAAGGTTTTTAACCTTCATAAATTATGGACCTGTTTTTTTCCCTTTTTTTATTTAAGTGTCTTTCTCTGCTTTAAATTGTCTTCGCGCCAGTAAAATAAAACATGATTGCCCGTTTTTAGATATCTCGGTCTGTTTTTTTTAAACCAGGAAACGGTGACTTTGGGATTTTTCATTATTCTGTGCGTTTTAAAAATGAGTTCATTGCTCCTCTGAGCAATTTATTCCTCGCAGCCTTTTAATTTGTTGTTTGGATTCAGGCTAAACATTTTGCTTTCATAATTTTCTTGTAATTTAAAAAAATTTGATAATTTTGAAAATGTAAAGAGCCCATAATTGTGAAAAAAAAGAATTGCATTTTGGGATTTTTTTCTGAACAATGCTCTAGATCTGATTTGGTTTGAAGCTCTGCTTCGCCTCTATGTCAAAAAGTATCTATATAAAGTACGCTTTAAAGTTACAAGATCTTAAACGTAATTTTTTCATGGCTTCATTTTTGTGGTTCATTGACACTTTTCAGCTGTCTCTTGGCTATGTTTTTCATGCTTAAACTGATGCTAATCATAACTCATTTAAGTCCAATCTAATGTTTTTTTTTCTTGTTTCAGAGGTCTGGCGCCACTGGAGATGCTGGCTGTATTAGAGAAGAAGTGCATTGAAAAGAAGATCATTCAGCCGAATAAAATTCAACACTCATCCTCCGCGTCATCTTCTTCAACTGATTCGTCTTCACTGGCATTTTTGTCCCAGTTTGACCTCATCTGTGGTGTGAGCACTGGTTCTATAGTGGCCTTCATGACTGCGGTTGCTGGAGTGAGTGACATCTACTTTTCCAATTAAGGCCTTTGAGTTATAAATCACACTAGCTTATTTTTTTTTAAAGGCAAATCGAAGGTTTTGGTTGAAAGTACGCAAGTTTAACAAAATTTATATCAAATTTTGATATTGTGTGATTTTATTAAATTTCAAGGATATATAGTTTCTTGTCTGATTGCATAAGCATAATAAATTTAAAAGTGACTGCTGTGTTATTTTTGGGATGCCTAATTGTGAATTCGAAGACGGCCTTCTACTTAAAACTAACTTCGTGCTTGGCTGATTCAACTTCACGTTATTAAAAATAAAGGACGGTCTTCATAGAATTTAATTGGCTGATCTTATATAGGCTCTGCGTAAAATATTATTTTCATGCTTTTTAGCTCAGTTTTGACACCTCTATCAGTATGTACCGCAAAATGGCCTCTGAGATCTTTCAACGGAGCAGCTTCATGAGTGTAGGTTCGACTCTGACCGGAAACTCGTGGTACGATACTGAAAAGTGGCTGCGACACCTCCAGAGCTACGAGAAGTCCTTCGACCCCGTCTACATGGCATCCAAAGAACCAAACACACCTTTGGTAAGAAAACGAGTTTGGTAGTATATACACCAGCAGAAAATGACGTCATTTGCGTTGAATTCAACGTATTTTTCTACTTAAATGTTAAAAGTTCTGTAGAATTGTTGCATAACTTCTTCAAATTTTAGACTGAGCTATAAATTAGCTGGTTGATACTTTGGCTAGCTTATGTGCCACATAATTACCAATGATGCTGTTGGTTTTTGAATTTCAGTTAATCTCAAACAATGATTGAGTTTCATCGCTGGCGGAGTAAATCCCCCTGGATAAAATCCCCCAGGACAATATCCCACCGGATAAAAACACCCATGGCACCAAATCCCTCTGGGACAAAATCCCCTAGTTTTAAGTTAAAAATCTCCCACATTCGAGCTGATCAAATTAGATGATGAAAGATTATGAACAGAAAAGAATTAGATAAACTAAAGACTAAAAATTAAAAGGACAAGTTAACAGCTATGGCTTTAAGATAATTCAACTCGGCTCTTTTTCCTTCCCCCCCCCACCTGCAGTTTTTTACATGTAAATTTGTTGACCACATTGTCCGATTGTTATGAAAATTTACATACAGACGAATAAGGCCACGACAAACATATTTGGTTTTCATACTCAACCTCGTAAAACCACTCGTTACACAACTATATTGAAGCTTGTGTGAGGTGGGGGGGGGGAAGGAAAAAGAGCCTCCAACTCTGTAGCTAGCGGGCGAGCATACAGTTTCTTTATCCTCCCGAAATTATTCTCTTTCCTTGTGCGATTTTTTTGCCGAACTGCATTTGAGAGAAACTAAACGTTTGCAGTGACTGCTGCCTCTTAATGGCGTCAATGAGCTTCCATATATGAGGGTTCGACGTTTAGAGCGTGCATTTAAAGCCGCGATTAAATCTTTCAAAGGCATTGTTTGTCCTGGGGAGGTCGTCAATGGTCCTGAAATAAAGCTTTCACATATCCATATGGAATCGAGACTTCCGTCTGGTCGAGTTTCGCGTTTCTTTGCGTGCAAATGTGTCCTTGATGGCGTCAGGAATTTTGCAGTTTTCGAGTATTTGCTTGTAGCATGCTTCTAGCTGTAGAGGTTGGGCAAATTCAAGTGCAGCTAAAAGACGGTTATCGTATAGCAAGGTTGAAATCCTTGTCATCTCGGTACTCTACAGCATAACCAAATACAGCATAAAAATGGCTTGCGAGAAAGGAAGGAAACAACCTTCTATTGCTGTGTCGGGAAGGTTGTCACCCACAGAATTGATGTGAGCCATTTCATAGTCCATCGTTATTGTATTGGGGCACGATATTTGCTTTCAAATTCGACCAGAAAGTATTCAATATTTCCTGTCGTTTATCGGGGGAGAAGGCCTGGATACATGGAAAAGTTGTTCCGTCTACGAAACAGTGGACAGTGTATGCTTGATAGAAGTTTTCAGGAGCGCTTTGAAGATTCAGTCGATAAACCAGTTCCCATAAGAATTAAAGACTTGATAATTTTCTTGGTTGCGAACACCAAGTATCGCTTAACGCTTTTCTGAACCGTCGAATCTTCCAAAAGAAAAACCTCTTCATTCATGGTTTGCATTTATTTAACAGCAGTTCAAATGCGAATCCTGTTAGAATAGCTGGCTGACTTCGGTTTTTGTGTCGGATTTTTCGGATCCTTTGTTTGATTTGAGGCAATAATGGTATCTTTTAGGAGCATCCTGGTGTGGCTTTTGCCAGGCATTTAACAGCGCCTTTTGCGTGGAAGAGTCCATGCAGGATGTTGCGTCCACTCTGATCTGTTCACTCATGGCATATGTTTCCAGTTTCCATTGAAGCATAATCTGGCATAATGTGGCGAAGACCGGAGGAATTCGCCCTTTGAAATCCGTATACTTGCTTTACACTGTGGCTTTGATCGCCGAAACTGTCAGTCTTATGAATAGAATTGACTAACTCTCTTTTTTAAAATGTTAAACGTAGTTATTTTTAAGCGCTCTCTGGCCCCCTTGTTACTCATTACAAATTTGGTTTTGTTATTTTCCCTAGTAATTATTTTGAATGAGTTGGTAGTTAATAAAAATGCACGTGGGCATTGTAATGGGAGATTAAAATGCGAACGCGCAAACTGGCATATCGCCTGTTAAGCTAATCGATTTTCTGGGATTAAATAGGGCGTTCTATTTTTACTACAATTTGATCTATTTTTTTCTTTGAAATTCAAAAAACTTTCAATCTACTTTTTTTTCGGTTTCTTTGTTCTGTTACATAATAGCACCATTCTGTTGGCCATGTTTTAAGATATGCGCAGTGTCTGCGATCACCAATCGGCAGATCCTGAGACCCTACGTATTCCGTTCCTACGGATTCCGATCCACCTCCAGGTCCAGGTATCTGGGAGGAGCTGCAATTGAGAACTGGGAAGTGTTGCGAGCCACAACTGCAGCCCCATTCTACTTCGACCCCTTCGCCTATGAAGATATGATTTTGCAGGCTAGTCCAATTAATATGAAATTATAAGATTTGAACGAAAAATTTGTAAAAAAAAATAAGCTGTTCTTTTTTATCATCTCCCAAAAGCTGGAAAAACTTTACCTTTTTTCCCGAAAGTTGACATAAATTTTTATCTATTCGATTTGTTCTTGTACGTTGTCATTTGTTCATGAGATAAAGTTTTGTTCACAGATCACAGGAGGCGGAATGCAGGCATTGAATGTCATGGTCTATGTTCTAATTGTTGCATTTATTTATAGCTGCTGCAAATGATTTGAACTGTCAGAAATTGACGCGATTATGTCTTTTTTTTTCGACTAGCCCTTCTACGGACAATTTGATTTCAAATTATGAACAATTTTTATCCCCTGTGTAAAAGGCTATAGGTGTTTTACAGGACGGTGGAATCCTAGTGAATAACCCGACCGCACTCGCAATCCACGAGGCACGTGCGCTTTGGCCAGATGAAGAGCTACAATTGGTGCTTTCAATGGGAACTGGGCTACAGAACAGCATCCCGAAGGAAGACCTGACTAGACCTGCATCGAAACAACAGCAGCAGAAGCAGAAAGCGAAAGCAGTTAGAACTGAGTACCTGAAGACATTTAACCATTTCATAGACAGTGTCACAAATACAGAAGGTAAATCACAAGAGTGAACTATTTTTGATTGTTGGATCTTTAGAAAAATAACAAGAACAAATACAAAAGCTGTTTTGGCTTAAAAGTTAGGGCACATAATTTTTTCTTCAGCGACCAATCTGTATTTACGGGACCGATATCTCATGTCAACTTAAGGCCGTTTTAGTAGTTAACTAATTAGCCAATGCTACATTATAAACTTTGTAAGATATATGTTGAATGTTCTAAATCCGAGGTATATTTCAGTTTTTGATCCGATTGGGAAGGAACTATTGCGAGAGTCCGTTTTGTTTTTATTTTTTTCTCGATTCATAAAAAGTTTTATTTTTGAGTTTCTTTTCTTAAATCAATGTGGTCGGAATAATCTGTACTACATGAACCGAAACCGAATATCATTAATTAATTTTTCTTCAGTTGTTCACACGACCTTGAAGGATCTGCTTCCGCGTGGCACTTACTTTCGCTTTAACCCGCGCCTGAACGACAACTTCGTGTTGGACGAATTCAGAGCAGAGAAGCTGGATGATCTACGGCAGCAGACACTGAAATATATGGACGGCCAGCAGGTATGAAGGAAAGAACTCTGTTCCGACGATAAGACATTTGGTTGTTGCTTTTGGTGATTGTTTAGAATTGCCAAATTTATTGCAATGGTTGTTATCAAGTGATATGCAAGCACGTCTATGATTAATTAAAACGGGTTCCAGTCCTTTCTTTCATACGGACCAAAATAACCGTATTGTTAATTAAGCTTATCAAAATCCAGATAGGTGAATGAAAATCCAAATTATATTTGCGGGAAATTATTCAGATTCTAGAGTTTTGATCAAATTTCCAAAACAACAAAACGAGCAGTTTTGGGTCGGTCCTATAACACGAAAGGCGCCACCCAAGTTTCGTAGAAAAATAGTAAAAACAAAAAATGGCCTAAATTTTGCAACCTATGAAATCTGCCCAGAGTAGATAATCATTTATATCTGAAGTTTTATATTTGAAGTTTTAACCGCAGTTTTACAGGATGATGTATTAAATTTAAATGGGCTTGAAGTTGTGAAATGTGTCATCATGACACTGGGTGTTCAGAGTGTTGAATCCCGGGGAAACAGACCCTTCCGCCCCTGAAAACTAACATGCACTGGTTTTTAGAACATGAATTTCAAAAGTTTTGAACCTCCTAGGTGCGTCAGAGCTTTTGCAAGTACTTGGGAATTGAAATGAAGAGCAGGTTTGCAACAGGTTTTCAAACATCAGCGATGTGTTGGTTCTATTTAGGACAGAGTGGATAGGTTTGCGGCCTGTTTTGCCAAGCAGAGGTCAACCAAGTCCAAACTGAGAGACATGTGGAAGCAAAGGCTGGATCACATTTTCCCCAATTGAGAAATAGAATGTCTGAATAAGCAAACCCCAAACACTAATTGAAAAGAGTTCAGGGCATCTTATGATCTCGTTTATTTGAATTGATTGCTTCAATTGCCCTGCGGGTTATCTCGAAATTTGATATTATTTTTTTGATCTGATTTCAAATACGATGTAAGTTTGTTACCCCTCCCCGCATGCGATGTGTGCCTTGACCTTGAGCTGAAGTGAAATGAAATATTGATTTGTTGTATTTAAACTGCTTTAACATATGGTCAAATAATTAATTTACTGAAAGTAGATGGAAATTGTAAATAAAATTTCCCTTTCTGATGTTATGTCCGATTGTCCTGGACTTTGACATGATTTAATTTTTAGCAAAAAGTTTTTTTCTTTACCGGTCATAATGATGCGCACAAAATGTTTTTACTATATAGCTTATATAACGCTTGGAAAATCTGATATTTTTTTACAATCAAACTTTTTACAAACAAAAAATTTTTAATGCCATGATGCGTACATTATTTTTGTCTGGTTATTTGCTAGAGGCAATTCAAATCATTTTTTTGAAAAATTATAGCTAATGCCTCTCCTGATATGTTCGACTAGCTCTTTATTGTCGAATGACCTAATGAAATTTTTGACTTACCGAAGACTTCAATTTTCAGATAACTATGATTTAACGCAATTAGTAGAATGACTGAGCTTTCAGTTCTGAGTTTAAGCAGTGATTTGTCCGATTTGATACTCCAGAATGTTTCGCTAGACCGAGAACATATTGGGACTGAACTAAATGAACTGTTCAAAACCAGGTAAAATTTCACCCTCAATAATCGTAATTTGGAAATTTGTTTCCGCTTTCAAGTAAATTCGCTGTTTTGCGTCCCGTGTATTACAGAGCTTTTGTATATTCGTTAATTTACACCAGCAAATGCTCGTGTAGCAGAACGAGTTCATTTTTTTCCATCTCAATTCGCATAAGTAAGTGCTCAACAAATTGGTGCAACTTTTGCTGCATAGCTTTTTAGCCGTGAAGCTACAACTCGTCTAAAGCGACATGTAACAACTCGCGTTAGGTGATACTTCGGACCAGGCGAGTATGCGTAGCAGTATATTGAGCGGCAAACACTGATTCACGAACACAAATCTTTTCGCACTGAATGTAAGCGCAGCGGAGCAATTGGTCGCTACTTTCCGAAGTTTGTTAGGAATCGTTGATCTTTGTAAATACTACCAGTTGTCGCTTTCGACGAATGGTCGCCTTATGCATTAGCTTTTCATAGCATGTGTTGTTCGAAATTGGCGATTTGGTGTTTTTTTTGTGAATACATTTGTTTCTATTTGATTCAAAAAATCAGAATGCTTTTTTCTCAAAATTTGATTTTTTCTCAGGAGCGATGAAAGGATGCTATAATCCAGAATCCTGATGCGTTATTTTTGGGCATAAAATTTTTCGTGACCAAATTCAAATATGTTCAAAAATTTTCTGGTTATTATGAAGCATGCGAATTAACGATTATTTGCAATCTTGTTAGTATCCAATTTTAGATTGAAGAAGAAAAGTTTTGAGAAGTTACTGAAGTTCAAACGGAGGCAGAAGAAAGTGGTCACGGCCAGTGAGATTGTCTTTGAATGTGTGATGCGATGTGAGAAACCAGAGCGGCAGTTGTTTTCGTCCCTTTTGGTAGATTATTTGAGCCAGCTGAATAAGATCTCAGGTCAGATTCTAAAGAAATAGTTGATGAACAAAGAAAGTTTTCTAGGGTCTTATGCACGAAACGGCACAAAATAAGTGTTTTTATCTTGATCTGAAGTCAATATGGTTTAATCCGATTGTTTAATTAGCCAACCAAATGCCATTATGGTCCGGCATTTCAATTAAATTTTGGAGCAGATAGTTATTGGCCAAAGCAAAAGATAAAACTTTTTTTCCGTTGAAGCCAGTTTCGTGAATTTTTCTGGTTTGGGCAAAGTTTCATAAAAAACAAGAAAATATTTTGCGGTTGCGGTAAACTTGGCATTTTTTCTGCTGCCGTAAAAGTTGATTGAAATGCATGAACAGGTTGCTTCAATATGATTGGCTAGTATTAGCCAATAAAATTCTACCGCATAAATTTCAGCTAATTATTTAAAGATTTTGATTTTGTGCATAAGACCCGTTTTCTATGATTTAGATCTTGTGGTTTTCAGGATAGTTTCGAAATTTGTTCACATTCATTTAAGTATTTCGACGGTTCTCTTCAACTTGACTCAAGCTATTCTAAAATGGAATGCATTTTTTCCATCTCCGATTTTTAAAAATGTGATTTAAATCGATTTTTGGACTTATATTTATGCCATTTATTGCACCAGCGAAGCGTAGTGTTAAACTGCAAAGCAGCTTTTTTTCCCGCTGAAGCCGAAAATTTTAGTGCTATTTGGTGACATTTTTGCAGCATTGGAAAATAATAGCATGTGATTTGATATTTGATTGCTAATAAGTTAACATACTTGATGCTTTTTACACTAGCAAGCAGCGAAATGTATTAGTGCGAATCCTCTTTTTTTCTAACCTTACTCGCAAATAACGCGTATTTTTCTGCTAATTCGAGGCTTATTTTACTTTTTAAGAGTAATGAACCTAGTGAATACTCTTATATAGGTCTTGCTGATTTTTTTTTCCGGAAAAGTCTTAAAAGTCTCTAATAACTACAGATGTGCATTCATATATATTGCTGCATTTCTGAATGCACTGAGGTTTATATGCACTTTTTGAGTTCAATTGAAATTTATCTGCTGAAAGGGACGTAAATGGCGCTCTCCAAATACGAACGTGGAAATGGCGCGAAAAAACGTGAACTATTTGTAGTTTCGAAAGTGGAATTTAATTTTAAGATTTCCAGCGTAATAAAAACTTTATCTGTTGATCCAGTTTTCTCAATTTGGGTTAATGTTATCAAAAAATGTGTACATTGCGTTCATTACTCTTTTCAAGTCTTCGGTTGTCTCTATTTCTAATTGCATAATATAGGGCTGCTTGTTGTCGTTTTCTCGCTAGTATTTGCGAAGCGAAGCTTCGACAATGTGTTAAATCATTAAATGAACCAAAAATGTGATTTGATCCATAGAACAGTATAATAATAATAATGATTTTATTTCAAACATTTGCTAAATCTATGTTTTTAGCGAGATGTTTCAAAAACATAATTTATACGCAATTTGGTTTTTTACAATCCAATTTATTCAAGCAAACTTTGTGAAAGCGACGGAATGTGTGTTAAGCGACAATATTTGGGCTCTTGCGCATTTTGAAGCTCCCTTTTGCCACTTTCCCGCTTGTGTTTGTGACTTTGCAGCTTCGCATCTGTGTTATATTCACCCTCCCATTCGTATCTACGCAGGTGTTTGATGTTTTGTTTATTCGTCTCGAAGAAAAACAGTGAACGGGTGCGTGATGATGATCACAGTTGTCGAATCTAAGGCATGTTCACCTGGCTTAAGTCAGACTCTGAAAGCTTTTCGTTTACATATCTTTCAGACTTTTGGTGGTTGAAAATTCATGCTGTAGTTTTGCGAGCAGATCCTTCGGACACCGAATCTTAGTCTTTTGCTTGTTTGTAATACCGTCGAAAACATTCTTTCAAGTAACCCAGTAGAACTAAAGTTACAGCCAATAAGTAAGTTAAAACAGTTTTTCAAGTTTAATTGCGAATCCAATCAAATGCCGCAAAATCAGTCTTTGATATGTCCGATATCTGCAGTAGCTGAAGCAAGAATGACTTCGTCTACATATGCCATGAATCAAATCAGCGCGTCGTTGACAGTTTTCGAACTATACTTAACACAAGTATCCGATTTCATTTTCAACTCGATAATATTAAATCATCGATTATCGAATGTTATGTCTGTCCAGCTTCAGAGATGTTCTCATTCAGCTCCATGCTTTCAGATCTGTGGTATCCATGACATTTTTACACTAGCATCAGCTTAGTGTAATATTTAGAACCTTTTTTCTAACCTAAGTCGGAAGTATTGGTGCCACTTTTGGGGCATCTTTACAGCTTTTTGATAGCATGTGCTTTGCCATTCTAATAGTAATAAGTTAACACCGTTGATGCATTTTTAATTCATCAAATGAACCGAAAAAAGCTTTTTGTTTCAAGCAACATAACAATCATAAAAACTCGATTTCAGAAGTTTTCTAACTCAATATATCTGGCAATTTTTTGAAATGCATAATTTATACATAATGTGGCTTTATGCTCTCCGATATGTTACATGCAAAATTAGTGTGGATGCCTGCAGTTTTTTATGTTCCAAAATAATACTAGCAAAATTGTGTCATTTTGTAATTGGTGCCACTTTTGCTGAATGGCATTGGCAATTTATTAGCATATGTAGCTGCTTTATTCGTGACTAGTGCTTGTCTGTTCTTAAGATTGCGTGGCTGAGTGGATAGTGCGTGAGACTCAAATTCCCTTGACTGCAGTAGGCCGCAGATCGATTCCTTGACCTAGCCGAGTTTTTGCTAATTTGAGGCTTATTTCTATTTTTTCTTATTGCACTTTCTAGAGCGTCTCTGTCGTGCTATGGCTAGTGTTGGCGAAGCAAAGCTTCGACTTTATGTTAGAAAATTGCGTTTAATTGAGAGCTCGAGCCATTTAGTTCAATTTCAAAGACATCAGGGATTTGAACTCTGCTCGTCTGGTTGGGTAGCCAAAACGTGCAACGAGGTAGAAATACTCAAGTAACTTTTTTGATCTCAGGTCCTCTTAGCGGTGTTTTTAGTCGTGAATCTTGCCGAGATCGATCAGCGCTCGAAGAAGTTTGCAGTTGTCCTCGTAGTTACGGTTTCATCGGCAAACTAATTTCAGCAGAAGACTCGGAATCTTTTTTCTTTCGGTCCGAGTCTTCTGCTGAGTCCAAGCCTTTTTCTTCCGTTGACGGCAACTACAAACGCGTTCATAATCATTGGATTCTCACTTTAATTTCCAATCAATCGGAGAATTTCATCAAGAACGTTCCCATAGCTTTAAGATAATTCCGTTAAGAATTTTGTCATACCTGGTAATTCCTGAGTCCGAATTGCTGGAGAAATTTTCTGCATTTTATCTTTAAACCGACAAAGCGTAGAAACTCGAAAAAGGAAGTGAAAGTCTTCTCTTCACATTTTTTACAAAGCCAGGCAAGTGATGCAGTGGCAAATTCGTTGCCTATAAATTTACAGGTGGTAGGGTCGATCTCGCCTTGTGCCAAGTTCTTTTCAGATATAGTTTCGTTTTTTGAGTTTTCAAAGCTCCTTTTTGACGTTTGTCGGTCGTTTCTGAAGTTTTATGTATAAAGTAAAATTAAACACCGCAGATTTACTTCACAATCATTTCAACTGCTACTGAAGGGGACTATTCTCATGCGCGTAGGACCGAATGCGCGAAAAGTTTCAAACCTTTCGAACTGTCCAAAACTGACTGAATTTATATCTAATTTCTTTCGAATTTTTTAATACTGAGCTCTGATTGGCTGAAAAAAAAATCGCGCATTCGGTCCTTCTGGCATGAGGGAACCCCCTTTCCCATTAAATGAGCCTTCTAAAGAATCCCCTCTTTATATTGCGGCTAATTATTTACAAATACTTATTATATTTCCATCAATCTCCTTGTAATGCAGGGATCGAAATAAGTTGAAAGAGAAATTTGAAAGTTCAATTGAACTGAAATAAGGCGATCACCGATACTTTAAAACGTTTTTTTTTTTAAAACTGAATTGTAGGAGGGTCGTGATGAGTAAACGGCCACAGTTTGTATCATTCCTAAGGTCAGTTGTTCGAGACCCACTGTGTTTCTGCGAAGGTACATTTCCTAGCCCTGAAAAATAACCAAAAGAAACATTCAGATCTAAATAAGGGACAATGCAGCGTTCAATGAGCCGAACAGCTCGAATTTTTTGCTCCTTTTGCGCGTAGATAAATAGGGTCTTATTTTGAAGTATCGAAAAACAATACAGGCAAGGTGTTGATATCCATGTTTTAGGTTTGGACGCGGATACGATTCGATCATACATGATGTTTCTCAGTTGTCTCCAGAACAGCTCAGGAAAAATGGGAAGATTTGATCCGCAACATTGCCTTGCCCTCTCAATTGTATCCAAATCGGCCAAATCTGACATGCAGTTGGAGAGATTCTTCAGTTATAGTCGAGGATGGGAAAGAAATATCACAAAAATTGAAACGTAAGCAGTTTTTTTTTCGGCGAAGTAGTTTGTCAGGTTTTTCGATAATTTCAAAACTGTAATTTTTAGTGGACTTGACTCTTTTAATTAGTTTGCTTGTAAAGTACGTACAGAGAGTCATTTTTGTTTAGGCTCGTGGAATGCAGCGTAAGTTATCAGAACTTCTGCCGTCTCTCATATTCGAGTCCACTGTTTATTTTTTTCTTACTTTATTGCGTTGATGCAGAAATCGAGCAGCTCACTTGAAAGATTCTTCATAGAAGCTGACAAGACGAAGCGGTGTGACATTTACACTAGAACTAGAGCACCTCTGCAGTCGGAGTCTATGAACCCGGGGATAGACCTTCAAGAGGTAAGGTCAAGCCTCTAGGAATGGATTCACTTCGTTGGTCCTTGGTGTGTTTCCGAACATCAATTGAGAATGCTGTTGGTTGATGGTTGAAAGTAATATTGGTTGATAGTCTCTTATCAAGCATCACCCAAAAGATTCCTCCTTCGATTCAATTGAACAACCGATTTCGGATTGAATAACCTAAAAGCCTATTTGGTTCCAATAGTATAGTTTGAGCACAACGTGCTCCGTAAGCCGCGAGTTTGTGATCAAAGCCTGTCAAAAACTACATGAAAAAGGGAAATGACCTGTTTTCACAAAAATTGGTATTAACTGTCAAACTTTTCCGGTAAAATGATTTTGTTTTGTTAGCCAAACTCGAATCCCCCCCCCCCCCCTGATGAACAATTTTTACATTTAGGAAAATCCGCTCCGCTTCCGTCGATAAAATCTAAGATCTGCATATGATGCAAAATTATTTTATGATAAGAGACTATCATCCAATATTACTTCCAACTATCAACCAATAGCATTCTCAATTGATGTTCGGTAATTTATTGAGCGCTTTAAGATTAAACAGCCAAAAATATAGTTTTTCTAAGTTTAAAAAATCTAATTATATCCTATTATTTTAAGTACTCATTATAAGTTATTTTGTTAAAAATAAATTAAATTATTGCTTTTAGTTTAAACCCAATAGATATAGTTACACAATGCAACACTGCTACGAAATTAAAATGTTGTAGATTTTCTAAATTAAAAACGGTGAATGAACTTAAGAAGACAATTGTACTCTGCGATGCTGTGTTTCAGTTGGATGAGGGTTTTTGTGGTGACAAAGATGATCTTCAATTAGTTTCTTCTGATGCTGATTGTACTTCTGATGGTTCTCATTGGGTTAGTCAGTGGCACGGAGTTGACTTCGGAGCCCCCAAACTAAGATCTACTTGGGATCAATTTGGACAGTTAGTTCGGCTCTTTTTCTTTTCCCCCACCTAACATAAGCATCAATATTAGTTCTTGTACTAAGTAGCCCTTAGTTCTTGCTCAATGTTGAATCAATGTCTGCTAGAAAGGTTTCGTAACATTCAGTTATTTTGCATACTTTTTCAAATAAGTTTTTCAAAGCCTTTTTTGAACGCTTTTTGTAAGCACTTCGAATCGCCTTTTTGTCGAAAACGACGTACGGAATTTCACGCGCTAGGTATCGGAATATAATCATGTAAATGTTTACAATCTAGTTTCTGGAAATAACGACCATTTGCAAGTGTCTGCTTTGTTCTAGGTTGGAACCGACTTCCGAGTTGAGTTTTGCCTCGGACAACTCATGTTTATTGAAGTGTCTGGACGGAGTGAGATTCAGGAGTGTAGACTACGTGTCAGTGCCTGAAGACATTCTCATTGTGCACTGTCTGAACGTGCTAGTGGCAGTGCCATCATCCACCTTCTTATTCCACATAGTGAGTGAAACTAAATGGGAACTTGAAATTCTTTCTCATTGTACACTGTCTGAACGTGCTAGTGGCAGTGCCATCATCCACCTTCTTATTCCACATAGTGAGTGAAACTAAATGGGAACTTGAAATTCTTTCTCATTGTACACTGTCTGAACGTGCTAGTGGCAGTGCCATCATCCACCTTCTTATTCCACATAGTGAGTGAAACTAAATGGGAACTTGAAATTCTTTCTCATTGTACACTGTCTGAACGTGCTAGTGGCAGTGCCATCATCCACCTTCTTATTCCACATAGTGAGTGAAACTAAATGGGAACTTGAAATTCTTTCTCATTGTACACTGTCTGAACGTGCTAGTGGCAGTGCTATCATCCACCTTCTTATTCCACATAGTGAGTGAAACTAAATGGGAACTTGAAATTCTTTCTCATTGTACACTGTCTGAACGTGCTAGTGGCAGTGCCATCATCCACCTTCTTATTCCACATAGTGAGTGAAACTAAATGGGAACTTGAAATTCTTTCTCATTGTACACTGTCTGAACGTGCTAGTGGCAGTGCCATCATCCACCTTCTTATTCCACATAGTGAGTGAAACTAAATGGGAACTTGAAATTCTTTCTCATTGTACACTGTCTGAACGTGCTAGTGGCAGTGCTATCATCCACCTTCTTATTCCACATAGTGAGTGAAACTAAATGGGAACTTGATATTCTTTTTTGTAGTCAGAACCCTTGCGAAAAAAATTTTTTCTTAAGATTTTTAAAGATTCTTTGTATGAGAGGGAAAAAAGAAGTAGCATTTTTAAACAAATTTTCGTAGAGTGCATCATCAGTATCCTAACTGTTTGCCTGTGGGTAGGAACCCGCTGCTGAGGTTATGGAAAAAATTAAGGATGGCCGGGTGCTGTGCCAGCAGAACAGAATGTTCTGACTACTAAGACGGAAGTGAAGAAACCTAAAAAAATCCCATTTCTTAAATTTCAGTTAATTTTTTCCCTGTAAAGTGAAATTTAATGGTGTAAAAATCTGCGAAATGAGAGATTCTAATATGTTAATCATGGTAATATTGCAGAAGAATCAAATGAAGAGTTCAAAATTGAGTTTCGATCATTGTTGAAAGGGCTTCAATATGATACCACCCAAATCCTACGAGCTTTCTTCGAAGTAGTAGAAACTGGGGGAAAAATACAAGCTACTCCATAGTTCTTTCTCACTTCCTGAACTGGTCAGAACAGCTAGTTTTGTTTCGTTGCTTTAGTCAGACATGGAGTATTCAGTGAGGAGCAATGTGAAGGTGTCCACTCTAACCCCAGCCACTCTCCAGGAAGTGCTGAGAGAATTCGCCACCTGTGGCACCTGCTTCGAGAGACTATCTTTCTTCTGTCAACACTCAAAAGGTATGCTTTTTTCCGATCATTTGAGTGTTGTTGAGGCACTTTGTTTTCGGGTGTGTTTTGGTGTTGTCCACGCAAAATCAGCTACCACAAATAATCATAAGAGAGTTGAGTGATATATCATATTGAAGCCCTTTTAGTCGTGATTCGAACGACGTTTAGAAAATTTCCCAGTATCGAGAAAAACAGCTTCAATTTTTTTGATTTTTATTCTTATTTCGAGCAAATAAAGCGAGCGTACAGGCTTAGAATAGCTTAGTTTAAAGCGTAAAAATTTAATTTTAATCGAGACAAGTTAGTCTTTTGAGTTTTTTAGCGCTTTTTTGGCATCAAAAACTTCACAAGTTCGGAAAAGAGCAAAATAGATCAAATTTGTTGTCCAGTTGCTTATTTTATTATGACTGTCGAATATGCCTAAGCTTTAATTTTTCATTCAGATCCGTTTCCGATAGCAAAAGTGTAAAGGTGACTGATTTCTTGTTTCAGTAATAGATATGGATATTTACACTAGCGTCAGCTTAGTGTATTATTAAGAACTTTGTTTTTGTTTTTTAAACCTAAGTCGCAAATATTGGTGCCACTTTTGGGGCACCTTGCAGCTTTTTGATAGCATGTGCTTTGAAATTTGAATAGTTATAAGTCAATACCGTTGATGCATTTTATTTCATCAAATGAACGGAAAAAAAGCTATTTGTTCAAACAACATAGCTCAATAAAAACTTGATTTCCGAAATTTTCTAACTCAATGTATCTCGCAATTTTTTGAAATGCATAATTTATACTCAAGGTGCATTTATGCTTTGCGATTTGTTGCATGCAAAGTTAGTGTGGATGCATTCAGTTTTTTATATTCCAAATTATCACATGCCAAATTGTGTCTATTTGTACTTGGTTCCAATTTTGCTGAATCGCATTGGCAGTTTATCAGCGTATTTACCTGCTTTTTTCGTGACTTATGTTTGTCGGTGGTTAAGCGTGCGTAGCTGAGCGGTTAACGTGAATCTCAATATCTCTTGATTGCAGTATTTCGCAGATCGAATCCTAGACCTTGCCGATTTTTTCCTAATTCCAGGCATATTTCTATATTTTCTCATTGGTTTTTCTAGAGCTGCCTTTTATCGTGTTCCCGCTAGTGTTTGCGAAGCAATGCTTCGCCTGTGTCAATTTTTCTATCGGAATAAAAAATAACTTTGGATTCAGTTTTCTCAAATACGGTTAATTTAGTCACAAAAAGTATCTGTTATGAGCTTCGAAGAGCTTCAAGGGTATGTTTTTTTTCGGAAATTAGAAAGCCGAAGTTTTTTTTTGCAAAAACCAGCCAGTTTTTTTTTGCTATGCCCTTGTGTTCAAAAGCACTTTTCCAGCTGTATGTTGGCTGTGTTCGGGTTTTTGAAAATTCAATGGCGACATATTGAAGAAAGCTTTAAGGTCTTAGCTCTAGCTAAATTTGAGAATAATTCTGAGGATTCCACCAATGATTTACAGGTCTCTTCATTTCTTGTCTTGCTTCCCAAATACAGAAGCTGCTCAGGATAATACATGGTCTAGTAGTTGAATTGTTCGATCGGAGAGGCTCCCTAAATATGCTCAAGTTGGACTCGTGTACGAAAAGTATTCGGCGACTGGCGACCTTTCTAATGGGCATTATATCGGGCTGCTCTCAAGGTAAGGTTGTTACCGCTAAAAAATCATTTTAATATCAATAATTCACATTTTACACGCTGGCTGTTTTTCAACACGAGAAAGTATTTCAGTTAGATGAGGCTAAATGCTTTCACGATTTATAGTAATTTAAATTCTGTTGAGAAAGCTTCACGATTTTCAAAACTTATGGCTTTGCTTTGACTGTTGGAACGACACGCTTAAAAGTGTAATTCTCGTGACAGTCATAAGTTACTGATTGCTTAATCATTCGTGTAAACGATTTCGAGTCCCCTGATTTTTGTTACAGGTGACCAAGTGCTCTCGTATCTCTACCAGAAATGTTTGGAATCGACTGGCTCGCCGTTTTATAAATTGATGACTCACCTTTTCAAGGCATGCTCTCAGCCTTATATGGACCTTATTCAGCACTGGATTTATCATGGCTTACCGCAAGACCATTCAACTATCGAGGAGTTTTTCATCACAGGAAATGTCGAGTTTTTGTCATGCAGGAATCGCAGTTTTTGGACGAAGGCCATAACATTGAACACTGACGAGAGAAGATCAAACGTGCCAATGTTTTTAAGAGGTCACATTGACGACGTTTTCACATGTGGAAAGACGATTATGATGATTAAAGCTTGTCAGCCTTACGTACGTTAGCAATGCTAATAAACGAAGTGATTTTGAACTATTCAAGTCCTGCTGTTTTTTTAAGGAAAAGTTTGAATTTGGTTCATACTATTATTTCTATTTCCGTTAAGTTTGATGTCTTTGAAGCTTGCATATCGAATTATCAAGGAGGTTATATCCAGTTGTTGATTAGTTGAAGCGATTATGGCGTAAGATTTAATAATAATGTTTCTTAAATATGGATGGTTCAATTGCCAAAGACATGTAAGCTGTTATCAAAAGTTTGCGAAAACTTTTTTGCTTGATAGTTTTATATACTGCTATAAGATATTGGTAATACGCTGCATTTCATTTTTTTAGTAACTAATTAGAACAAACAGGTAACCAAATGGCCAAAAAGAATCAAACAGTTTCCATGTTTTAGCACTACATGGTGTCCAACTATCTTTCATCACCCCGATTGACCGTGACCTTTGACCCGAGTGAGGTTGGGAGTTTAGAACGAGAGGCAGAAATGTACTGCTCGCAGCTGGACTCACTAGTTGAAGCAGAGACACTAACCAGAGAAGAACAGGCGAGTTCAAGATTTTTCTCCCACCTCCGTATAATATTGCGTGATAAATCTTATTCAGGAAATGAAAATTGTCACGTGGTCGTATACCTAACTCTGCATCTATTGTTCCCCATTAATAATATGGTTCATCACAAGCGAAACATAGTGTGATACTACACGGCTACTAATATTGGTGCTACTTTGACAGAAAATCTGACAGCTGAATTGACAGAAAATCTAAGAATGAGAAGTCATACAAATGAAATTTATAGTTTTTTCTTGGATCTTAGGAAAGCCTTTGATACTCTCGATCATCAAATACTACTAAATAAACTGGAATCTTATGGTATAAGAGGAAATTGTAACCGGTGGTTTCAGACCTACTTATTTGAACGGACTCAACGAGTTTTAGTAAATGGACAATTCTCTGATTGGAAGAAAATAACATGCGGTGTTCCTCAAGGCTCGATACTGGGACCTTTGCTTTTCCTAATTTACGTAAATGACCTTCCATCAGCATGCAAATCAGTTGAAGTAACACTGTTTGCAGATGACACCAACCTGACGGCAATTGGTTGCCAAATAACTCAAATTAGAGAAGATATTGGCAAGCTGGATCGTTGGCTTCTCGCCAACAAGTTAATAGTTAATAGTGATAAAACAAATCAAATGAATATAAAAAGTGCTTCCAATTATCGCTTCAAGCTTAATTCTTCTAACATTATACTAAAACCCGTATGCAAATATCTAGGAATTTATATAGATTGTAAGTTATCTTATCAAACTCATATTAATAATGTTAAAATGAGACTCGGTAAACAATGTGGTATTATATCAAAACTGAGGCATTACGTGCCGCTTTCACAATTACTAGAATACTACAGAAGTAATGTTGTTCCTATAATACAATACGGAATTCTGATTTACGGTTGCTGCAGTCGAAGTTCACTGGAGTGTTTATTTCTTTTACAAAAGAAAATAATTAAATTTATGTTCTTTCGAAAGAAAATGTACTCCTGTAATGACATTTTTCTTAAATACAATTTTCTATCGGTTTTCGAATTGCATGTATACGAATTGCTCAAATTTGTTCTGCGCTCAATTAATTCCTTTCATTCAGAGAGTTTCCTTAACAATTTGTTTGTTTTTAATAATCGGCAGAGACAAACAAGAAACTCAAAATACAATTTACTATTAGAACCTCTTTGCAAGAAAAGATTTGAACGTTTTTCTATCCGATATCGTGCTTGCAAGCTTTTTAACTTATTGAGACTGCAAAATATAATTCCTGAAAATATTAAAAGTTTTTCTGAGACAAAAGTAAAAGTGTTTTACCATAATTTCAAAAATACATTTTTGTTGCAAAACGACGAACTAACAAAACTTATCTACGATTTGTAGTACTTTTTCCCTTTTTCCTTTTTTCTTTAAAATGATTATCGTTGGTTAAATGCTACCAGGCAACTGCTCTAGCTTCCGATTCTCGTGCTAAAATATGAAGCTCTAAATCCTTGTAGTTCAGGAGATATGGCCATTTTTACGATTTTTCGAAAAATATTAAACACTTAGTAAAAAAAAAAAAAAAAGAAGAAAAGGAAAGGAGAAGGGGAAAAGAAGAGAAAAAAGAAAAAAATTATTTTTCTTAAAAATTATTTTAAAACTCACCTGCGACCGTGAACCTGGTTGTCTTAAGTTAAAGTTGATGGGCTCTTTCAGTAACGCCAACAAAAAATCTTAACTTACGGAAGAAAACCTACTTCAAAACTTTTTTTTTTTTTTTTTTTTTTTTCAAATTTCGTTTTTTTTTTTTTTTTTTTTTCATTAAATATTAGTGTTAAATCTTTATGTTTGAACAACTTAAGGGTAGACCCTGGAGGACCTTTAGGTCCCGTTGTCTATCCTCTCTAAGTCGCATCATTTAACTTAAATTATAAATATATTCAATGTTGTATTTAATGCTGACTAGAGAAATAAATTCTTTCTTTCTTTCTTTACTATTGGTGGCACTTCTTAGCAGAAGGCTGAATTGGTTATATAATAGCATTTGACTATTAAAAAGTTAACACAATCATCAAATAAACCGAAGAAGCTAATTATTCGATACTTTTTGATACAACAGTACAAAAATAAAAACAGTTCTATGACAACAAGCTGAAGGGATTTTAAGTCGAAGGGAATTCACGCCGACGGGACTTCAAGCCGAAAAACTAACAAAAAATAGTTTATACAAAAGTTAATTGCTAAAATTACAACAAACAGTCGACACACACTCAATAGTTTTTCAAAGAGTAAATTCCATCTAAACATGAACTTTTGAAACGGGAAGTTTTCTCATTGAGGTACCGATATTTCTCTTTTTTTTGCATATTGGCTTCTCATCGTCAAATACGTCCTATAATGAGTCGAGAGTGTTGTTATTGTTCTTCCAATTTTTGGACAACCGTTCAAAAAACTGGATTTTTTGTCACCACTGACGCCTGTCTTCCCAATTCCAGCTTTCAAATTTGTTGGTTGTCCTCAAATTCAGAGGTCGATCAAACTCATTACATAAAGTCAAAGGAATTGGGTTGTAACAAAAGCTTTAGCTTGTTTGCTTTTGCACCAGGTACTTGCACTTTTCACGTTGCAGTTATTTTTGGAACGTTTGGTTAGATTAAGCATCTTCGACTCATGCTTTCCCTTATTTTCTTGTCCTTTGGAGGCATAAAAATTTCAGAACTCCCCTTCATGCTATTTCTTCAAACTTCTAATTCTTCCTTCAACTCTGAATTATTGTTTGCCGACAATTTTTAACCGAATTTTTGTCTGGAGGTAGGTGATTATATTCTTCAGATTTTTAGCAACCGACTGTAAGTCATTGTAACATGTGATGGATTTTTTATTTCACGCTTAATATAAATCAATGTTTTTTCTTTTGAACATGAATCAGTTTAGTTTTAAAGTTGGATCCGTTTTTTTTTGACAAAGAAAAAGTCCATACTTATTTTGGAAATTATTACACAACAAAGCTTGTGTGATAGTATGAACTCCCTTTTTTCCAACCTGAGTTGCAATTATTGTTGCGACAAATTGTGTTCATTTTGAGAGTGTTCATTTTGATCAATAACCAGCTATTAAGTAGTCAATGCTAAGTGTCATAACACAGACTATTATATTACAAATAGCACTTTAGCTTCAGCATATCATGGATATCTACCGTAGAGGTAGGGAAGGAGACCCGCAACAAAATAAGAGGGTTCTAAACTGGACAGGGTCGGATGTTTTAATTAACTTTTTGGTATACTAGTTAAAATGCGTCCGCTCTATAAATTGAGGCATGTTAGTTGGTAATTTTTTTCAAATTGACTGGTACTGCTAATGCGTCATAATTTCCTTGCGCCAATTAGCAATTATTTAGACTCATAATTGGCGTGCATCACTTAAGAAATTTCGTTGACTCAAAGTTTTACTCATTCAGCTTTTCCCAGTAGCGTTATTGGTCATATTTTTGCTTGTATGCGAAGTGCGATTTCGCCTCTGTGTATATGAAGTTGTTTGAAACATGTTGTGTTTAGTTGGAAAAGCTCAATTGGAACGAAAAATTTTCGTCTTCTTGTAATTTTTCGCGAAGTTGTGGAAAGGCATAATTTATACACAATTTGGATTTATTTTTTTCCCAGTTTATTACATGCAAAGCTAGTATGGCTATTTTTGTTCATTTTATTCAATTTATTCCATTCTAAATTTTGTTTTGATGCTTAAGCTCCTTTATGTCGATTTCTTACTTGTCTGTGGTTTCGATAAGCATGAGTAGTACAATTGTGTAGTGCGGTCAACTGGAAAATGAGGACTGAGGTTGAAATTCCGTAGGGGGCGCATATTTTTCAAAACTTATCACTTTCTCAAACGTTTTACCCTTAAAAAGCTATTTCTTGGCGTTTTTTGCTTGTTGGCGAAATGCAGCCTCGCCTTTGTGTCTCGCCATTAAAGTGATTATTGTTTTAAGATGTGGGAAGAGTATAAAAAAATTAACTGCTGGATGAGCTATATACAAGATAAAGTTAAAGTAAATAAAGTAATCAATTTCTTCGGACTGAAAGTAGAATAATTAAGAAAATGAACACCAGGCAGCACAGCGAACACGCAACATGTACTTTGTTTTTTTTCAACGTTAGAGATTGCCCTTAAACGGTAAACTAAAATGATTGTTTTTAAATGAACGCAGTCAAGACACTTATTTATTCAGTCTGTTTTTTTAGTAGATTAGGACGACCAAGCTCATAAAACTCAGGCAGGAAAAAAACGTGAATGTTTTTTAGATCCTGAAGGAAGGGGATTTCAAATAACATATTTCCCGGCTGAATCAAATAATTTTTTGATTCAGTTTTTGAATAAATTTTTGACAGTTTCATTTTTTAAGAATCGAAAGAGCTTCGAAGAGATATATTTATATTTAAAGTTTTTTTGGTTTCTTTGTTAATTGATGTTTTTTTTTCAAATTTCCGTTTGCTAGGTTTGTTGTAGATCATGTATGTATAAATCAAAAGATAAACAAAGGTTCAGTCTGATATAGGGACCAGTTTTGAGTTTATGTAAGTGCTATCAATTCTTCTAGATAGACACCAGTTTGAGTTTATGTAAGTGCTATCAATTCTTCTTTCTGTCTGGGGACCTGCTGTCTTGACCTTGCGATCTCTAATGTCCGATGGGATCTGAAATAAAAGAGTGCAGTAAGATTTCGATTTGATGCCTAACAGTTTGCCTATAATAAAACTTATTAACAACCTTTTGAATTTCCAAACTTACGACTTTAACATGGCGCAGCCAGCAGAGAAAAAAGGAGGGGGGAAAAATCCATTAAATATAGTAGCATTTTGGGAAACACGAACGCCGGAACCTCCAGTATATTGGGAGGAGTGGATAATTAAATTTCACTGGGGGATGATAGCAAAATACGACATTGATCCCGATGATTTCTATTTTGCGAGTACTCTAAATGCGGCGGCTATCACGGCGTTGCCTGAAGAAGTCAATGGAAAAAA